GGTCAAAGGTAATCGAGGCCTTAAGTAATTGGCTTCGCTCTGACGAAGGGCTAACGCTCGAAACGTCAGCTTGTAAAATATCTACGTTATCAACTCCTTGATAATACAAAATTACCCTGTTATACTCTCCCACCGACGCAGCACCACAGTTTCTTCAGAAACTAACCTCCCTTAGTAAGTTTATTCATAGTTTGTGTAAGTATTTCCGCTCAAGTGACCGTTCAATACATGTGAAAGACAGTGTAAACAGGCTGTTGGGTTCAGTCATGGGTGACCACGACCGCTTAATAGAGATGACCGCTTAGTAGAGGTGAAAGTTACAGTACTTGAGGGAAAAAGCCAAAAATTTTCCTTGAAAACCGACCGCTAAATACAGGGTAATTGCGTGATATAGTGCCGCTAAATACAGGTTCGAATAAAGTTCTAAGCTGGAAATTCTTTGTTTCCCAACCACTTATCATCAAAAATAGACAGGAGGGTGACAAATATGCAAACAAATAATATTAAAACTGTGAATGTGGAGATGGCCCGAAAACTTACTTCCTGTAAAACAGAACTAAGAAAAAGTTATAGTAATTCAAAACAAAACATTCTCAGTAAGATAAGGAAAAAACCATATATATTGAATTAAAAAAACATCTTTGCACTTGTCTTCAGAATATCTGTACTTAAAAGATGACCAGAGTGCCATAAAAAACATCCATATCGTCATTTGGTTTATTAATATCATTACATCTTACAAAAGAACTGAGCTGAAACATCCTATCTGCAAAGATATTAACATCAACAGTCTTCAGTTCTAAATCCTTTGTAGTGTTTTCTTACACGCAAGCAATAAACAAATATCTGTTAGGTCCTTCGTATAAGATGACAAGTTCAACTGAACAGCTTTTCTATCAGTGAGATTCTGGTAAAGTTCAATCTCCTCTTGATCATTCCTTGTCGGATTTCAAGAGAGTGTCACACAAGGTATCATGGCTTTCATTGTTGTGCTTTTGCAGTTCTATGTAAGATATAGGAAGGAAAATAAATTGTTGCCATCTTTGACAATTAATTTTTTTTGCCTTGTCGAGGGAGGACCGTGTATGTGACATTACCCTGTCACGTGAGTACCACTTTTGATTGCTCGACGAAGGTAGATTGACGTTAATACCATTTATTTAAAAAAAACTACAGCTTTGACCAGGCTTGAAGTGAAACAACACTTGATATGTTTTTTCCAGAGTTCGCTACAACGAATGAAATTCGCTACCAAACATGACAACCTTTTAATCATGTTGATAAGGCAGGCGACCCTGCAATTGGAAGTGTAAATTGGCTACCGTAAAGAGCGGCCAAGCTCTGGGCCTTCGTCATCGAACCATTCGCTCTTACGTTGGATCCTCTCACTCTCAGAAATGGCCAAAATGGAACTTTTCCTTGAATTGTCTTTTCATTTTTAAGCGGAGGGCCGCTAAGGAGAAGCAGGGTTTTTACCTCTTACCAGAAAAAGCTCATTCACTTGAACTATGTACAATACTGGAAATATTTATGTTGTCTAGGAGGCTTAAAATACTAACATCACGTTTTTGGTGACCAATGACCTTCCAGTCGTGAGGCGAAAATATCAAATTACTCTGCTTGATTCTCTCACGGAACTCCACTCTGATCCGATGAAACACCTACCAAAAGACAATTGAAATGGTAGGAACTTCCAATTTCTTGATTTGTCTCGTGTATTCGAAGACTAGATTGATCCAGCATTGTCATAGGATACCACCAGGAGTGCTAACCCACCCCAGTCACCCTTCCCTCCCACCTCAGTCCCTGTCCCCTCCCAACCCAGTCCCCCTCCCCTACTCCTGCCTCCGCCTACTTCTTACTGAAAAGGTCACTCGTGATTTTCAAGATCAAAACAATAGATTCCTGCCTTTCTGAGAGTATAGATCATTGTTTACGTCACGGTTCGTGTACTGGCAAGATTGTATATGAAATGCAAAAGTGAAACCACTGAAACTCCAATATCTGTTATTCCCTTGACGCGCGCAGAACATATTCAGATATCTCGACAGAATCTGTAGTTCAGACAAACAATTGGGAATCACGCCATAATTTCTTGGCTCTTGAGGAGGTAAAACAGCGGTTTTGCTTTGCTTCAGCTTTGCTTTGTTTCCAGAATTAATCAATAATGAATATTTCCTCGGAATACAGCGCGAATACTTCAATTGACTCCGCAGACGATTGCGTCCTTCCGCAGACGCATGGCGTGCTTCTTATGATAGTTAATTCTATAGCAGCCGTGGTCGGAACCTGTGGAAACATTATGGTTTGTATTGCGGTGCTCACGAGCACTCGTCTTCGTCGCAGCTCCAACTTCCTTCTTCTCAGCCTGGCCATTGCTGATTTGGTAGTGACAATGATCTGCGAGCCTTTGGTAGCTGCTATAGTCGCTAAGAGAGCGTTTTCCCATGATTGTGCATCCAGCTTGGAGCTTGCTTACGTTATCGGCTCAAACCTCTCGTGCTCTGCATCAGTCATGCACCTGGCAGCCATTAGTGTGGACCGTTTCCTTGCCGTTGTCTACCCTCTTCGCCATGGACGGATCATGAACGGTTCTGGTTTGAAGATCATGTTAGGAGTTGTCTGGGTCGTATCTATCATTTTCGCTTCATGCCGCATTCCATTCCTTAAGGAGACATCTTATCTAGTCTTCGTAATGTTTGTAATAAGCTATGGGTTGATAATTATCTGCTACGCGACCATCGTGACTTTTCTTGTTAAAGAAAAGCGAAGAAAAAATAAACTCAGAGCACGACCCACAGTAGTCGTTAATTCCAAAATCGAGCGCCGCGTGGCGTCCACACTGGCAGTGGTAATAGCTATCTTCACCGCATGTTGGCTGCCGATGATTGTCGTGTTCTTTGCTGCTGGTAAATCCCTTGTTAAGATGTATGGCACTGCTTACATGTGGATCCGATCCTTGGCACTTTCAAATTCAGCCATGAACTTCATCATCTACAGTGCAAGGATTCGTGACTTCCGGGATGCTTACGCTCTAATATGCCGAAAGACTCTCCATTGCTCATGATAATTCGGTCGATATAGAGAGTATCAAGGCTTGAGATACGAACTAACTTTAAATGTAATAGTCAATCGTTAACTTCTGATTCAAGACCGGCAAAAAAAATGATAAAATTAACGGTGCGGAATGCATCAAGAGGAAGCAATAAAGAAACGTTGTGAATTTGTGAATTTCGAGGTAAACACATAACAGATATTCTGAGCCTTGAGAGATCTAGAGACACTGGTTCTAAATGTTTTTTCCTTTAGACCTGACATAAAAATCGGCGAGGCAAATGTTGCAGTGTTAGAAATCTAGAAACATCGGTCAATATTTTAGGTCAAAATTTGCTCAATTTGCTACAGCGGAAGTAAGTCGAAAGTTCCTCGCTAGTTTACACCTGCATTTGTGTGTGCGGGGTTTTCAAGGTTAATATCACACTGGAAAACCAGAAATGTTACATATTATTTCGTGATAGGTCGCTTAACATTTGATATGCAATTTTCATAACATTTAGTTTGAACAGCATTGAATAATGCAGTGTAAATAGCTTCCTTATTGTAGAGTGTCATAACAATTAGCGGGGTATGGCGCTCCATAAATGTATTTTATTTTTTTTTCTAATTCAAAAGAGAGATAAAGACAGATAGATTACTAATCGAAAGTGGCTATTTAAGGGGGAAATTGATTAAAATGACAAGCGAGTTACGATAAATATCAAGTCATAGGTAATCGAGGCTCTAAATAATTAGTTTCGCTCTGACGAAGGGCTGACGCTCGAAGCGTCAGCTTGTAAACTCTTTACGGTGGCCAATTTACGATATTAACTCGTTGATAATTCTAAATAATCCTGTTATACTCTCTCACCAACGAAGCACCACATTTTCTTTAGAAACTTACCCCCTAAATAAGTTTATTTATAGTTTATGTAAGTATTTCCGCCTAAGTGACCGTTCAATAAAGGTGAAGACAGTACAAACAGGCTGTTGGGTTCAGTCAAGGGTAACCGCGACCGCTTAATAAAGGTGACCGCTTAGTAAAGGTGAAAGTTACAGTACTTGGGGGAAATTTTCTTTGAAAACCGACCGCTTAATACAGGGTGACCGCCAATACGGTGCCGCTAAATACAGGTTAGAATGAAGTTCTAAGCTGGAAAATCTTTGTTTTCCAACCACTTATCATCAAATATACACAGAAGGGTGACAATCAGGCAAACAAATAAAAATAAAACTATGAAAGTAGAGATGGCCAGAAAATTTACCTCCTGTAAAACAGAACTAAGAATGAGTTATAGTAATTCAAAACGAAACATTTCTCAGCAAGATAAGGAAAAAACCATACATAATAAATTAAAAAACACCTTTGCACTAGTACTATCTGTACTTAATAGAAGATACTTAAGTACAGAATATCTGTACTTAAAAGATGATCAGAATGCCATAAAAAACATCCACATCACCATTTGGCTTATTAATATCATCACACCTTACAAACTAACTGAGCAAACACATCCCATCTGCAAAGCTTTTGACATCAACATTCTTCAGTTCTAAATTCTATGTAGTATTTTCTCACACACAAGCAATAAACAAATATCTCTTAGGTTTTACATATAAGAAGACAAGCTCAACTGAACAGCTTAAATCTGTCAGTGAGATTCTGGTAAAGTTCAATCTCCTCTTGATAATTCCTTGTCAGATTCCAAGTCAGCACCATTCAAGGTATCATAGCTTTCATTATTGTGCTATTGTGCTATTCTATGTAAGAAGTAAGAAGAAAAATATATTGTTATTATCTTTGACTATGAATTTTTTTTTGGTCTTGAAGAGGATGATTTTGAATTCAGAGCATTAAAAACAGCACCCTGTTTGTTACTTTTTTTTTTACAACCATAATTTTTAATAATTCAAGGTGGCTTGGAGTAATAAGTTTGCACACAGTTACTCTTTTATAAGCTGAGCTTAGTTTGACATTGTTAGCAAATTAGAAAAAACTCTTGAGGATAATGTATGGACAATGCATTAAAATGTTCCATTCCACTTTTCAAGAGAAGGAAACCATCCACAAATTTCATGGACGTAATATCACACACCAAAAAATTGCAACCCAATGACGAAGAAAAAGAAATGATTGTAAAAATACATTTCAAGCCCTAAAACACTCTGTTACCCCATTCACACCAGCTAAACATGTTTAGTCAAACCAGATTTAAACCTTGAACTCCCATGAGTGATTAGGACAGCATTTCTCCTTACAATAAAAAAATATCACTTAGGGGATTACTTGTTGGTCCAACACCAAATTCTCTGAACCAACATCATAAAAATTGTATGACAAATAGTGAGGAGAATCATTTAGGAGATCTTGGGTTGAAAGGATTAACTGAATGAAAATCAGCAACAAAGAGTAAGAAAAAAACTAGATTTTTGATAGGGCTCAGGTAATAAAAATTCTGTATTTACCCTTTCACTCCCACAAGTGACCAAGACAAAATTTCTCCTTACAATATCAATACAATATCAAGCAGGCAGGTGATGAGAATAGAGAAGAATATCAGTTATGGGATTATTAGCTGATTACTAATTAGATCTTGAGAGTGAAAGGTTAATAGTTCTAGATTGGAAGTGGATAGACATTACCATAAACAGCTTGAAACCTTCTGGTAAGAAAATAGTTTGATATACATGTTCAAGCTTTACTGTGAATATTGCATTAGCTGTGATACTTTGAGCATAATGATACATTCATTTCAGAGACTTGACCATTCTCAGAAAAAAAATATGTCACTTACCTCTAGTGGTTTCAACTCGGGATTCAATTAAAATTAATCATCATCATCTGAATCATCAAGGCGCTTCCTATTGAACTAATTGTTAGGTAAAATTAACTTTAAAATGTGAAGTTATACTGAATTGATATCTGTTAGTGGTAATGCAAAAATTTGCATCTAAGAGTGTCAAGTATGTGTGATTTGATTGAAAGGGAAAGTTTCTCTACAGACAGCTACATGTATTTGTACTGACTGACTCATATAAAAAAATTGGAAAAATATGTCAGCGGTGCACCTACAAGTAACCTAAATATCCATGTTTTAACCTTTTGACCCGGAAGAGTGACTACCATCTAATTTCTCCTCATTATATCATCCCTGAATGATGCATTAAGGACACAAGAATAAAGGAAATGATTGCCAACTTAAGAAACACTGTGCTTGTGTGAAGGAACACTTGATTATTAAACAAATTCTCCATGTCAGCACCTTAGGAAATGTATAGCGAACAGTACAGAGAATATGTGTACTGGTGTCAGGGTGTAAAGGATTAAAAAGTGTGGAATGTAAAACTGATTTGCTACCTTGACTGTGGTTTTCTTTTGGGTTCGCTCACTAACTTCCTGGAGTAGACTCACCAATTGGGACTCTGATAACTGAAACACAATTTTTTGTCACAGAAATAAATGCAGGTTGAAAAAAATTTTTTCTGGAAAAAATGGCTTTCACAAGCATCAATAGCTTTTTTCCTTGAAAATAAGTTATTTACATAGTTTTCTTTCACTAGAACTTGTTTTGCAGAAAAGACGACTAATAAAAATTTTTCCAGTTCCTCCAAAATTTTAACTTTTGGATAGGCAAGCGTTACACTCAATGTGCCAATGTGTTAAATTATAAAGCTGACCTCAGTTTCCCAGAATTTCATGTCCAAACCCAATGGAAGGAGTTTATTGTATTATTGATTTAAAAACAACATACACATATAACTATTAGTTATCTAATGTTACCTTTCCAGCTATCTGCCCTGACCTAGCCATTTGGATTAGCATACTTTCCATCATTTTTGCCTTTTCAGGTTTAACCAATGCTATGCTGTTCACTATGGGGATATAAGAAAAACTTGTTAGTGATGATTGAATAAAAACCAAAAATCTAGAATTAAACATTTGAAGGCCATTTAGCTGTTTACAAAGTTCAGTAAAGGAGAGCATTACTAGCAAAACTTGTTGAAGTTTAAAGGGAATAAAATTCTGAAAAAAACTGTGGTGCTGTGTCGGCAGAAGAGTATAACAGGGTAACTAAGTATTATCAATTGAGTTGACAATGTAAACTAGCCACTGTAAAGAGTTTCAAAGTTGAGGTTCTGAGTGTTAGCCCTTCAACAAAGTGAATGAGTGCAGGTTACTCCTATCCAGTCCTTTCTTAAAAATCCAACCAAATGCTAAAAAACAGCTTTTTAAATTTATAGAATGAATTGCAAGAAAATATCAAGGTTAAGATGATGGTGCACTTTTTTCGATTCTGTGTCACAAGATTTAAATCAAACAAATCACAATGTCCAATCTGAATGAAGAAAAGTATAACAAAGAGAACTCAAATTTGAAGAAAAAAAAAACACTTACCACCTAAGAAAACCTAGGTGACCAGGTTGCAATTGGTATTGTGTTTACTTTTGATGATTGAGAAAGTGATGCAAAGTTTTCTGGACCGATGCATTACTGGATTACATTTGACACTTGGTTAAAAATTGCTCCAAAAAAATTTATCAAGTGAGAATCACTGCATTTTACACCATTTACTAACATCTTGCTCTGGCCCCTTGCTCCAGTATTTGTGACAGTAGACTGTTTTTCATTTCAGCCTCCCTAATTAGAAGAGAAAAAGGTATTTACTGCTGGTTTCACAAGCACATACAAGCTGCTTTTTCTGCTGTATCTTTTGGGTGGAAAGGGGTAAGGAGGAATGATTTAGCACAAACAAAACTGTGCTGAGGCTTGAATCAAGCAGTAGAAATTGTGGGCAAAGTGTTTAAAGCTTCACAAAAATTTTGAAAAATTGAAGTAACAACTAGAGTTATCTCACATTTCAAATCTCAAAATGTTTTCGGTAAAATTTCCGCACTGCCCCTTACTACATTATGCATTCAGTTCTCAGATAGTAAAAACAATGACAAAAACAATATATTGCCATTGGGAAAACAGATTTGTTTTACAATAGTATGGGGCTGTGCGGAAATTTTACCATGTTTTCCTTTTAACTAAAATTTTTAAGGAAAGGAAAAAAAAATTGGGGTTTGTTGGGAACTGTTATGCTAAGGGAGGGGGAAGGAGACAGGGAAAAGTTCTCGTCTTACCAGATTTTTCACGACTCCTTACAGTTATGGAGCTTCACTCACAACGTCCAACATAAAAGCATGCGATATAAGCTTGAATGCACACTAACACACATAAGAAACTCTATAAAGTACCCACCAGATAGCCCCTCACAACGCCTGCTACTAACTACGACAAAAATTGAGAAGTCGAGACAGTTCCCATGCTTTATAAACTGAATCTCCCTGAACATTTTACCCTTTCTTGTGAACCACCAACATTGCACAAGTTAGATTCAACTTCAGAAGAGATGCTGAGTGACTTTACCAAATTAAACAATCGCGTATCACATTTTTAACACTATCAATTGGGGTAGATAAACAAACTCGAACCTCTTCATGGCATCCTGTTGCTGTTGCATTTGTGCCGCATTTTGACCCTGTATTTCACGAAAGAGCGAGTTAAAGAAATCATTAAGTGAACGATAGCTATTTCAAAAGAATCTACCCCATATTGCCCTTGTAGTTCCTCCAAACGCTTTGCACGAATGGCAGCCAACTCGCTATCCTCCGCCATATTTGACTGTTCGATTACCGAGTAACCACGCCTGTAATCTTAAGCAGAGTAACCTCGTCCTTTTTTACTAAGAAATCCTTTCATCGCAATAATTATGCTATCATTTGGAGAAGTTTGCTATGACTTGAATCTAACAGCCTCGTTACTTACGGATCATGGGAAATAAATGCGGTATTTAGTTCTTCAATCGTTACATTATTATAAGAATAGAGGTGCACGAGTCGTGAAATATAATGTGGGATCGTAGTTTCCCTGTAAATTTCCCCAAAACACCTTTTCACGGTGTCCCTGGAGGATTTCCTCTTGGTTTTTTTTTTTAATTTCGAACTGCTTTCCTGATATCAAATCCTCGTGCTTTTGTTTTAATGCGCAATATTTCTCTCACCCACTCAAGAACAAAGTGGGTAATTTAAGTGCACACTTTTCCACCCCTCCCTCATTTAAAATCTGTCAAAATCAGACAGACGCGTAACCAAACCTAACCAAAGTCTCTCTCTGTCGTTCCAGCTTGCCTTAGTTGGTTATAAAAAGATAAACCCTGAGAAAGAGGTTAGAGACTGAATGCGAAAATAAAGGGAAAAAGTGTCTTGGAGTTGTCACTCGACACAACAGCCTTTTGTATCGTCAAGAGCAAGTTAGGGGACATTGGCATTAGCCATACTTCATACTTTATCCTTTTCCTACCCTCTGTTGTCACCAGGTTTGTGCCGGTGCTTTTTTTTTTTTTTTTTTTTTTTTTACGTTCCACGACTAACGAGTCAACGACACGTAGTTGAAAATGATCGGCAAAGATAAGATATCATAATTACCATAGTTTAATAATCCGTGCGAAAGACCTTATTCAGGTCAAAATATCGAATTTTCTCAAATGCTTTTTTGAGGCAACTGTTTAATTTTGCAGTAGATACATTCGACGCACTTTCAAGGACTCTAGCAATGAAATTTTGCGCTTGATCGTCCAAGAAAAAAATGCACATGAGAAACATTTGGGAGCTCCAGCCTTTCTTGAAGCGACATGCGATTTTCTACATTTCAAGCATCACAATCTAAAACATTGAATACTTAATAACATATATTCGTAATCGAGACTTAACCAATGCGGAGGCCTATAAATAAAATGAAAACAATTAAAACCCTTATAAGACTGAGTAGGTAAGAGAGTAGAACAATTGAGAGGTTTTTTTTTTACGATGGATGTTTTAGTTAATTGGACAGAAAATTATAAATTAAATTTATCTTTCATGAGTGTGGGGTACCATTCTTCTACCTTCGTGCCGGGGTTAAATAACAAACAAAAGCACTTAGAGTCTTAGAATAATTTTTGGAACAATAAAAATGGTTGGAGTCACGTACGATGGTGACGAGTTCCGGGAGGCAGTCACTTACCGGAAATGGTCAAACTTTAGGGTTCTTTAAAAAGTGCTCGGTGGGAGAAGGTTAGATTTCGCGTGCATGTGAGGAAGGCAAAGAGTTTATATGTGACGCTTGTTAAGTCCAACATTAACAACTGAAACGATGATTTTACAGAAAGGCAAGGTAAGGTGAGAACTAATGTTTTCCCTTTTAAATTCGTGAGGCGTGAAATACTGTTTAAAGTACATGTGACGCGTGTATTTTTCTAAAATTTGAGCGATGAAAACGGGATCAGGGCGCCCGCTTTGCTACCCTCCGTGGTGGTCACAGGGTTAAGTTGAACTCTCAAATATCAAACCAATATGGATTTAAGTAACAACGAGTTAATACAGAGTGGATCGTCTAACATTTCAAATACTATTTGCAGCAATATGTGACCTAAATTTAGCTCAAAATAGAAACGCTTGAATCTAAAATTAGCTTTTGGTTAGGGCGCTTTTTAACACTGCCACGAAAATGAAATCTCCCCGTGAGCATTGTATAACCTTGCAGTGGCTGTTCTTTCATGAAAATCCTTTTGAATCTTGAGTCATGTCGAAATCAGCAATATTGGATTCTAAAAAAAAATGCCCAATTGGTATATAAAACTATAAATATATTATCGATGAAAACACTTAAAAGCCCGAAACCAAGTGAAGTCAAGTCAGGTGTTAATATGGATTTATAGTGTACGCATGTTAGCTGTCAGAATCTGAGGGCAAGAGGTAAGACAAACCCAAATGATGTTCTTTTTCAACGAAAGAAATCACGGCGTTCGTAAGATTAGGGAGGGTCAGGTTCTTAGAAAGGAGCAAGGCGTAAGTCTTTCGTAGTTTTATGGGGAAACACGGCGTGAGTGCTGTAACAAGGTGAGTTATCGGCCTACAAGAGAATTTTAGCCCGTGGGTTAAAATGGTCGATCGCAAAACGGAACGCATTAGTTTTTGGAAGGGCATACAAAAAAATCGATACCCGGCGGAAGTTCTGCTTCAAGTTTTAATCGCAACAGCAATAGTTATGCTTGAAAAGAAAGTAAGAAAATTCGAGTTAGTTTTTATTGCAACAAAGGGATCAGAAGGCATAACGCTTCTAATGATATAAGATGGTGCGTTAGAGATTCAGAGCCAATACTGATTATACTCAGCACTTTCAAGCTAACTGACAAATAAAGAAAATTGTAGCGTTACTCTCGTTCCTGATTCTGATTGAGTCATGGATATAACTTTTTTAAGAAGTTAGTGAAAGGTCATGAAAAACAATAAGAACGTTAATTTCTTGTTTGTTTTTGTTCTGTCTGTCTGTATTGATCTGATGTACCATCTGAGTACTTAAGCGGTAAACAGAGTAGGTAATTCTATTGTCTGGGCGGTTGTTATGGACTTGGTAAAATACCAGCAGGATTGAACTTAATTCTTGTGCTAAGCCGCAAATTAGTTAGGTAACAGAGAAAGTGGAAGGTCTGTCAGAAGGTAAATGCTGTTTGTGAAATGCACTTAAAACAACCTGGGTGACGTTTGCGGAAATGTTTCTCTTAGGATAGAGAGAAGCGTGGTCCGCAAAATATAAACCGCCTGAGTGACATTGACGAAAATTTTAGACGTAGTTACTATTTCAAGCTCGATCTAAATAAAGAGAGAAGGAATGGATTAAGGAGATGAACAAAAAGGACGAATAACTATGATGTAAAAATGTCATGATGAATTTCAAAATAGACTAAAGAGATTGGGATTGAACCACGCTATTCACAAAGCAAGGAAGTCAATTTGCGAGAAAAAGAAAAAAAGCAAAACAACAACAAAAAAAAAAAACATGAGTCATCATGGATGGCCATGAGTATGCTATAAAACGTTCATTAAATACTTTTGAGGGAAAACTTGCCCTATTCGATCTAATGTTTAAAAAGCTAGTGACTAACATCTAAATCATTCCAGTTGGATTATATGGATTATGTGTGACACTTTTTAAAATACTATTTATTATGGTTTAAGTTAACGGTGAGATTATGAGTTTGAGGTTTCTACAGAGTCAGTGATTGTTGATGAAGACGACATACAAATCAACTATCATACAGACATCGATCGAGAGCGTGTCAGAGCGAATAATCCGATTGTTTTCGTATAAATCTGCATGTCGACCGGTCTTTTAGTCAATGGGATCGTGTTTCTATTTCAGGTTGTTTACAATCGCATACTGTTAGGCTACATACGTTACTCATTGTACATGTCTATTACAGATTATTCAATTAGCTGAATTATTTACGCATTTTGATTCATTCTTCTATATGACTCAGTGGAGGACAGACGCATGTGTATGACATCACCATCCACAATTTTGCTTCATTATCATATAAGAAAAATAGAAAATATGTAAACGTCCCTCTCAGTGCTCAGTCATAGATCAATGACGTCAGTACGGTAAGAACGAGAAGGTGGCACACGAGGTGCTGCTAAAACGTAATCTTTTTGTTAAATATAAATAGTGAGTAGTTAAGCCAATCGGATTGCAGTAATTGTGATAGAACGCTAGTGGATTTATACCAAATTGGTTTATTCCAGACAGAACTAGACCCAGAGGGCGAGTCAGTTTATTTGTTCTAGAACACTCCACTGATTAGCAATGCGTGGGCTACACTTAGCTAGCTGGTATGATTCAAGCCAGAACAAAAATATCTCACAGAATTGATTGAAGTCCCAGGTAAGCACGTGAAAAACTGCCTTTACACGATTCTTATGGAAAAAAAGTTCCCTCCAGATCGTGGAGAACTTCAGTGTTATACCCATACAATACTTTATTAAAAATAGTCACCCGACGAAAAGTAGTGGCAATTTACGATGGGCATTTCCGGTGCGTTACCACAGCTTAGGAAAAATAGTCTCCATGAAAAATCTTAATTTCCATGACGACCGAAACACAAATTTACAAACTGTGGCATTCAAACATAACCACAATTACTTAACATTGCCGCAAGTATCAAACATCACGTAATCCCTAAATAATTACAAACATTTGAACAATTGAAAAATCATCACGAATCAGGGTAATGATTCATTTGTAATGATCACATGAGTGATTGGTGATTGTCTGTCTTCCCGTATAATGCCATATCTATTAGTTGAATATTGTGCACAAATGGAGAGCTGGTAAATAATTGTATTCTTATCTAAATTAAGTGAAGAACATCTAACATGTATCATTTGTTCATGTGTCTAATATTGCTTTGTTGTATCCAACTGTATTGTTCTCCGCATATCATGAATGGTAGCGAGAATTATCAGAATCAGAGATTTCATGATTAAAGCGCGAGATGGTCAATATCTGCTACACTTCTATGCCAATATCATTCCCGTCGTATCCAGTTACAGTCGAGGGTTATGACTGAGTAAGTTATGAACGTAACAGCCTCTTTCTTCACAAATTGCCTTACGCGTCTAGGTTTCCCGCGCTTTCTGTCACGTGACGCTTTTACGTCAGACATTTTAAGCAGCATATTCAGTAGACAGACAGTATTATTCCTCGTCGTTTAGGATAAAGTTCACATTTTAAAGTGTTGGGCAATAGAGAGGAGATCCCTTCTGACCAGGTAAGTGTGTGCTTCACTTTTAAGTAGTAAAATCATCATCTAAATTCGGTATTCCTCACTTATTTTGCGAAAACAAACGCCTTTTAGAGGTTAAAAACGTGTTTTTTATAGACTGTAAATGCCAATTCTTTTTAAAGCACGCTCACATCGAGTTAGCAACGTTCAGGAAAGCAAAATTTTTTCCGATAAGAAATCACTTACAGAAGCCGGATGTCAGGTAATTTAACAACAATATTTGCCGGACGTTTTACAGCGTTAGAGCAATTCTCCCTTGCAATGTTTTCATCTGTTCAGTTCAATTGTATACTACCTTTGTCCTTCGGTTCATGACACAGGTACAACTTAAGTCTTTCACCGACGTAGAACAAACAAAGGTAAGAACGAAAGCAAATTTTTCCCATCTTTGTTCCGGAAAGATTATGTTTGTTGATCGACTGGATTTTCGTCGTCATTGTCTCACCGAAGTCGGACTATTATATTTTTTATATTTTTAGTGACAGGGTTTTTAGGCTTCGTTGCGCTAAGAGCGTAAGAGCTACTAAGCTTTTTTCTTTTTAAAATTATACGAAAGTAATAAAAGTACCACGAACATTTTTACTAAAATGCGCGAGAAAGTTAAAATGGGGAAAGCATAAGAAAATGGGTTTAACGCGGTTGTGAATTTGAAGTGTTACAATGACACGAGTGTGAATAACTCACTACAAAATTCTTCTTTGGATCTCGATTGGCCTTTACAATTTTTTCAGTTTGTAAACATAAAAGGTGGAACAATTTAGTATTGCGCCGATATAGTCTGAGGCGTTTTCACTTCTTGTTTTTTTGTGCGTTATTTAAATTAAATATTGCAAGGGAGTTTACGACGAGCGTTTTAATGACTGCACTGCTCAATGAACTGTCTGATTAATCTAGGTTCCACGAGTTCCGTTGTTCCGAAAATAACGTCGGTGTATTTCAAAAGTGAATACAGAGCCGATCTATCCCTCTCAGACATTCTCCTTAAAAAGAGGAGGGTGTTTGTATACATACAGGCGGTAAGATATATCAAACGAACAGCGATGTTAGTTTATGGCGCTTTTCCGATCTGAATATCAATGCAGAATAATGATGCAAAAGAAAATGATAAGAATTCGCGACACGAACAATACAACTGATAAATGAATAAACACATTATTTATAGATTTATAAGATTGCATGAATCTAGAATCATGGACACGAAAAATGAATTATCTAGATTCCTAATGTAGGAAAATAACTCACGATACAAATGCTAAAGGCCGGAACATAAGGACTAATTGACCTTTTCCTAAATGGATATTTATACGAGAGGCTCACCTCAAGATACACTAAAGAAGTGGGCTAATACTACTGAGAACTTGACAACTTTGGATTCTGTGAAAATTGTTGATCGTGTGTTCGTCGAAAATCGATACAGAGGAGCAGATTATCTTACCTTAGTCGAAAATAACCCGACTGTAGCTCAGAATATTTTGAGGTTAATTCATTTCAGCCCAGGTCAACCCGTTTGAGTGTGAAGATAACTCTAACAATCACTAAAGAAGAAATGTTTCAATTCATTCATTAACTTTTGTAACATCTGAATTGGAACAATTATCCTCTACAATCAAAACAGATTGATCCAAGGTGGAAGCGAATCAAAATAACCTGAAAAAGAACATGAACTATAACGTTTATTTTAGCCATATAGCGGTTATTATGGGAAACTGGTTGACCGCAAATTCCAATACAACGCTCGACGCCGAATGATAACGATTATTTTGCAATGGAAAAGGTTCTCTGAAGCTTTCGTCACACTCGCAGTTTAGGAGTAGTTCATTAAAGGACTTTTCAAAATTATGGAAAATGCATATATATATATTTCATTTCGCCGAGTAGTTGCTTGAAAGAACGAGTAACGTAAACAAATGTCTCAATTACTGACGGCGAAAAGTTTCCTTGAAAATTTTCTTTAGGGTATGTAGAGACATGTGAATATAAATAATATATTGTTCAATGGATATTATTTTACCCTGACAAAATCCACTTAAGATGATACTGAATTTCTGTCAATGGTGCGACTCATTTGAAACTCTAAATATCGCTTTCAGAGGTTTATAGTAAGTTTCAGTTGCTGTGGTTTCGCCGGCGGCACACTAAGTCGTCAACGTTTACCAATATTAGAACCTCAACACATTCCTTTGATGAAAAAGTTGTTCGGTGGTGAAATTTTTCGTTAACGAGACAGTAAGGTATTATCAATTTTAATTGGTCTATTTTCCGGTCATCTTTTCTCAATGCTTAATTGATATTAGCTTCTCGTGTCTCTAAAGTTACATACAAAGCAGAGATGCTGAGAGCTTCGATTACATGCAGGAGAAATAACAAGTGTGCAATTTTGTCGAAGCAACGCCTTTTTGTCTTGAAGTTCATCGAGCGGTAAAGCCGAGGGCTCTCCGGGCCTTTTTCCGTTTATTTACTTTCCTCTCCTCATTAGCTCCACTTAGTGTCACTTTAAAAAAAAAACCTTAGTACTCTATGTACTCGGCAAAGCTACAAGTTAATCGACCAGGACGGCAGTATTTGCCTTCCAATCGTGTTGAGTACTGAGGAGCAAGACATCAATTTTATCCTAAATGAAAGACCACCCATTGATCCCAGTGGCAGACAAAAGTAACAGGTTTAACTAGATCGTTTGTCATCATAGTCCTGCATCTCGAAAAAGTTAGCTGAAAAATTTTAAGTTCAAGATTGAAGTTTTTAATTTCGTGAGAGGCGTTTCCCTTTTTCAACGATTAACCATCCTTGAAAGCGGCTTTTGGTGTAATTATCACCTCTTTGGTTTCTTAGATCTTCGGCATTTTAGCAGATTCCGAACTGTCTTATGGTCGGAATTTCCTGGCCGTTACAGCAGTTGTGAAATTGGCATTTGTGGCAACGAGAAGTGCGGGGTAATACATGTTAGGAAGTGATGACCCTAGTGATGTTTGGATATACATCGAGAGATGTATGACTCTTAATCGTAAATTTGGCTCCCATTAGGCGAACGTATTTGAGGGCTTCATGGAAAATCAGTCGTTATTTGACGCGGCAGTTATGGCGCCGTTCGCACTCCCTCGTACCAAAGCAACACACCCTCGTAAGCACGCATCCGTTAAATACGGAATTTTGTCCTTAACTCTCACTCTAAAATTTTATCCATAAAGCATTTTAAAGCGTAATATTGGCATTGTGGCCTTAAACCTTCATTCACGGATGCAATGAAATTGCTATAGAACAGAATATTATGGGGGCACAACATGCCACTGTGCACGCAACCCCAATAACTCGGCGGATATACTGTGAAAACGCCTTTCCTACGCCTTGAAGACGTGCACCCGGTCGGATCCCGCCGTCGGAAAAACTACTTATGGACTAACAAACCCAAATAAAAATTTCATCATCTTGAAATAAACTAAAACGTGTCCATTATCACCTCACCGGATAATTTACCGATCGGCGATCATAAGTTTTTGCACTTCTTTGCTAAAGTCATCAAGTGTGGGGTCAATCCAACAGATGGCAGTTTACATTTCAAATTGAGAAAGAGAGATGTCGAAATCTTTTGAAATCTTTTATCTCCAATAAAATGAAACCAGTAGTCCTGTCAGCGCTTGATTGAGCTAAAAACTTGATGTGATTCTGCTTGATAAAAATAGTTTTTTTTCAAGTTTTGACGCTTTGAATCTTCTCGGCCATCAAGCAATTTCTTTGTAAGGTAAACATGATTAGCGAATCACTGTAGACTTTCAGAAAAGTAGTTTTAATTAACTGAGCTTGGAAGTAGTTAAGCAAACAACACACTTAAAAAAGGAGATGTCATTCTTCTTAATCATATGTTTGATTAGGGCCGGGGAGATCAAAGTACAGTGGGCAACAAATCTCTCTGATCATCAATTAAAATCATTGTCAAGTCTCCGCATCTCGTCGGCGAAGTGTCAGGGAATGAAACTATCGTTGGAACCAGGTCAGATTGCCGAACACGCCTCGTTTCCACGACACTGAAGGGCAGAACGAACTTCAAGACATCTACACGGATTAACTTTGTTCCATCGTAAATCATAAGGAACCACTCGTCTCAAGTATTCTCAAGAGCGTTTGTAAATAGTCTTAAGATGACTTCTACGACTTGTCTCACAGCTCTCGCTCTGTTGACAATCTCTTCCACTTTGGCAGCTTTAGCGGAAAGTGACAGGGATATAAACAGCTCAGAGGTAAGGAGATAGACTTCGCTGTTTCTTGGCTAATTTTTCTCTCCTATTCGTGTTTCGTTTTACTCAGCTTTGCAGTTTGCACATCTACTGCGCACAATTTCGTTATGGAAATGACCTCATGGGCTGAACAAACGCAGTTTCTTGTTGTTGGAATGACATATTGTTATTGCATTTTCTCCCTCTTGCGAAAGACTTTCACATGGCGTAATCATGGGTATGTCACAACTAGCTAATGTCATTTCAATTCGTTTTGCAACGAGCTTTCCATAAAATGCGTGCTTCGTGTGAGGCCATTGAGACGAGAGAGCATAGCTCATGAAGACCATCTTAAATAAAGAAACAAATATTTTGACGGTTTCTTCTAATTTTGGTTGAATGTATCAATAATTAGGGAAAGAGGAAAAGTTACGTTTATTACCTTGCGTCTTCCGCTCTTTCAAAAAATTCGACACATAACTGTATCATTGGTAATAAAACCGAATGTTAGCCGGATAAACCACAAAAGTGTTTAATTACTTGCGAGCGAGCTCAATGACTTCTCCTCGTGCGTGTCCGTGTGTAAAGCCATAAAGAACCGAATCATTAGTCACAAAAATTAGCCTGTCGGTTTGTTATAAATGTTTACACAGTAGAACAAAGAATATTCTCTTGAGACATTATGTTGGCGGGCGCGGTGAGCTATTTTGGTGCAACACTCGACAACTCTTTTATCAGGCTTTTATGCAATTTCCAAGTGGCCCTTAAGATTGTCTACTGTTCATCAACCTGAAGTGCCATAAGCTTCCTGGCTGTCTATTTTGGATCATGATTGTCGAGCGACGAAAATCAGTGCTTCAAGATTCTTTAATACACGTACTACTTTTTGCTTCAATGTCATGGTATCAATTTCTATCTAGTAGACAGTTTTCTTTGGGGAGAATGCAATACATCAAAATTTATAAGATAGAAATAATTATCTCTAATCATAGTTCGAAATTAATTTTTCATGTATCTTATCTGATCCTTCAAAGCTTTCCATTACGGTTGAATCGATTTTCGTACAGTATCACGCGTCAATGGACTCCGCTAGCGTACTTGACATGCTTCTCATACCTCCAAAATCGTTAAATCAATCGATGCGCCCATTGGTTTACCGTCTGGAGAGTTCAATTTTTCTTTGTGGTCAAAGAAGACAAAACAAAACTCTATCGAAGAATTTCGACGACTGTACTCACCACAACCCTTATAAAATCGTCACTGGTGCTGTTTTTTCTCTTTGTGTGTGTGTGGATGGGGGGTGGGGGGTGGGGTGGGGGATGATTGAACAAATAAGGAGAAATTCGGACAAATTTAAAATATTTTCAAATTATTAGTTGTTTATGACTTAGACACTTGTTTTTTTTTATATAGATTTTTTAATTTAAAGAAAACTTAAATGGAAATCCGGCAAATTGTTGTTACCTCCTTAATTTTATTTTTGCAATTGTTTCATGTTTTAGTTCATCTTTAGGGAAACATCTAGTGCTGTTAAAAATGGTCTTCAAAGATATGAACTATCCTGTTAACTCAAAATGATTATACTAAAGGTCGGAAGCGAGCATTAACTTTGCGAAAGAAAAAATGACAGGTACCGTTGACTCTCAATGACTCGGATCTTCAAGGGAAATTGAAAATGGCACGAGTCTTCAGGAGATGAGAACAACTGACCGGAAATAAGGAAATAAAACGGCGGTCGCTGTGCACTTTAATCAAATGTCATTACCGCGTAAAGGAGTCGGATGGAAAAGGACATTTTTTAAAGAGCTTTATGAAAATGCACTGTCGTTGAAATGTATCCAAGGGCAAGGAAACTTCAACTAAAATGACAGTCGTTTCATGACGGTCGAAAAAAGCGAGTTCTAATCAGTAATCCAACTAAATCCTATAGCGCTATTTCTCACCCCGCAAAAGGGCCGACAAAAAATAGAGTTCAACGAAATGGTTTCCCTTCGATTCGATTACTGTTCCGGAGTTATTTACTGAGCCTTTGGTCGAAAATTTTTGCACCTTCTTAGTTTGCGGCACTTTTTTTCTGGTCGGAACCTTCTATTTTGACTCTGAGATAATTCACAAAATCTTTAAATGGTTAAAGTTGTAAAAGCTCCATGCTACCCGATATTTTCGTTTTTTATTTCAATCAGTGGTCTTTTTCCACAACATTTTATTGTGGAAGTTGATTGGCAGCCTTTTTCAGATGTTCCTTCTAAAATTGTGGCGTTCTCATTTCGGTACCAGGAACAGATGATTATCCATCTTGTTACAATGATGGTGTAATTCGCCCAAAGGAACCAAAATCATCCAGTGAAACCCGAAAGGGTTACTATTTGTAATGAAATTCAAAGAATGTTTACTCAAAATCGATAATGGAAGTCATGGCTAGTTTACAAAACGAAAACCAAAAGAATATGTCATAATTTTTGGTGGAGCTTTCCAAAAGGGTGGCGCACTTGACTCTTTATGTATTCTGGGACCAGACACTTTATCTCACGTTGTCTCCCTCCATCAAGGAATACAGATGAATGTCAGGGAATTGTAAGGGATAACAAACGAAATATCCAAGTCAAAGTAGCATGCTATGGATAAGCATCCCATCCAGGAGAGTTGAATGCGTCTCGCGAGTTATGTCGATAAAACAGGGGACCCTATCTTCCAAGTGGTTTTTAAAAACAGTTCGTTAGTCAGTGGTAGGTGGAACTGAGTGTCTGATATGTGGTACCCTCTTGAAGTTTTGTTCAACGAATAATTTCAACTCTTAACTTAACTTTCCACCTAGCTTTTGACCAAACCGTAGCACGAGAAACAAGTGAGGGTAGGCTTCAAGTCCCTTCGATCAAATCAACGGTATGAAAGCCTGTAGAATGTTGTCAAATCATTGCTTGAACAGTGTTACTATTGTATCTTTTCACAGGCAAGAAATGATATCACGGAACCCGGTTCGACGAAAAAGAAGACCCCAAAATGCAGAGAAGACCGAGATTGTCAAAAAGGCCAGATATGCCACACATTTTTAAATGTTTGCTTTGTTATGCCTCAAGAGAAAAGCAGAATGAAACTGAAGGTGGAAAAAAAGCCAACCATCCCTTGCAAAAGTGACAAAGACTGCGGCAAAAGTCAGTCTTGTCACGCCCTTTTTGGATGTGTGGATAATCCTCATATTCCTGCGACAGTCACGACTGCACCCCAGATAAGGGTACCCAAGTGCAAAAACAGTACTGAGTGCCCTGATGGCCAATATTGCCACGACTTCTTCAACTTGTGCCTACCAAACCTCACAATATTCTTCGAAACAACGGCTTCTCCACCACGTGCTGGTTGCAAAAGTGACTCAGACTGTGAAAACCAGGGAGATTTCTGCCATAACTTGACCAGATTATGCCTGCCACTACCTACAACTGCCATAACTTCCCCTCCTCGAAAAAGTGCATATGCCTGTAATTCCCATGCAGATTGCAAAATGACCGAGTTCTGTCATTTTCTCATCGGAATGCGGAGTCGAGATAAATCCAGAGGCTTTGGACCAAACAATAACTTGAAGTCTGCCCTCGGGGTATGCATTGCCCGAGCTTTAAAGGATGTTCCTGAGGACCCAAGTCCATTCTCTTCAAATTGCAGTCATGCTGCAGATTGCGGAAAGGGAAGGTGTTGCTTAAAGGATTTAGGGTTATGCGTGGGCTATCGCTTGCCTGGAGAGCTTTGTGTTGCAGAGGTAAGTCCAGAGATTGGCGTCATTAATTCTTTTTTGGCGTTTTCAGGAAAACGATTCTACGCTTGACTTATATGGCCATTCTATTTATCATCTTGCCTAAATATTTCAAATGCATTTTACAATACGTTTTATTCACTTTTGGTCCTTTTCTGTGAAATGATGTCCTACCAATCTGCCGCAGGAAGAGGCTATCCTTTTCTTTTTGAGTTGAAATCAACAAGTTTCAACCGCTTGGAAATCGAAAACTGAACAGAAAGTTTGGTCTGGCACCTTTTTTCTCCAAATAGCTCTGTGCCTCTTAGATTTCTGGGAATTTTTAATTGTCAGATCTTTTCTTGACGTTTGTTTCCCTCCAGGACGTATCATTCGCCTTTTCCTGCCCATGCCTACAAGGTTTCACCTGCATCAGTAGGAGACGTCCCATGCGACTCAGGAGACTGGAGAGAAAGCTTAAACTGCCCAAAGAAGTAGTGAAGAAGCTGAGCTTACAGTTTGATAAAACAAATGAATTTAGGGTTGGCAAATGTCAGCTTATTTCTGATTGAGATGTGGAAGCTCTCACTAACGCCGAACATGAGCCAGTGCAAGATCACATTTTCCAAGTAACAATGGTGGTTCCGTTAGATAGCTTTACACCCGACCATTATAAACTGAAAAGAGAGATCGCTTGTGACAGATGCTTATCTGGCATGCACAGACTATTGTAAAATATACAACAAGTTATGAAAGTTTACAGGAGCTTCATTGCCAGTATGCGTATTGTACAAAACGGATTGTCCGCTAATTTTTCTGTAAATAACCGAGGTCTTACTATTATGGCCCAGACAATTAAAGGGAAGCATGTGAAACATGGCCAGATAATGTTAATTCGTCCGTTTGCGTCTTTCTGCAAATCTGTCACTCTTCAGCTCAATCTCATTTTCCTAATTGCCATTTCTTATGGTGATCTATATACTATCTTCAGCATACCATTCAATGAGTTTCGATGTCATGTATAGGTGACATCAAGCATGACATGATAAGTTTCCCTCATTTTTGTTGTCTTCACTGTTTATTCACAGAAGTAGAGATGTAGCGAATGGAAATTATATTCTGATTATTCTCAAGAATTAATCAGTTAATTAACTCATAATTAAATATAGATTTTGATGAAAAATACATCGGCCCAAAGAGATGTAGTGTAAGTGTTAGGAGAACACGAAGTGATGTAAGGATGTAAGTAGAAATTGGTTAGTTTTGTGGGCAAGAAATTGTCTCAAATGGGCAGTCGAAAAGAAAGAGATCTTGGCCGATGAATGGATTTTAATAATTAATAGATCTTAGACTGGAGAAAAGCATCAATTAATCTTAGATGCGAATAAACGATTTCGCTGTACAGGTTGAATCAGTACAAAATAAACGATTCTGGATATTAAAAAAAGTTCTGCTGTGTCTTGGGCAAGAGAAACATCTGTTACAAAGTTCCTTGCACTTAAAGCGAAAGCCCACACTTTAAAGGCTCTATGGATGTTATGGAAGTAGGAAAGGACACAAACTAATATCCTATATGGTTTCTTGGTAAATCTAGTTTTTCCTTCTTGTGGTTTCTATGTGTGCACCTGTGGTCTGAATAACAAGACGCTTTATCTCCAAAGTTCAGCGCCTGCGTGCAGCCCCGTTGTTCGAGGACCGATTGGCAGGGTTAAATTTTAAAAATTATTTTTAAGAGCATTCAATCATCAAATTACAGAAAAAAAGAATTATACTAAATTTTCTACTAAAACTTTTAGTCTGAAATCAGATTTTACACTAACCCTGGGTTATCTTAACCCCGCTTTGAACAACATGGCCTGGGCTCTAGATGAAGAAAGGCTGTGATCTACATGCTTTGTCAGCAAAATGGTGTACAAATTGGCGAATTGATCTTCTTAGCTGGTTCACGGGGTACACAATGGAAGGACTCATTCTCGCAATTCACGATAGCTCATTTAACTATAAAAAGTAGTTTGAAAACAAACCTGATCGTGAACTTACCAACTATCACGGTGTGTGTTGCCCAATTAGGGATAAACTCTTATCTAAGCCGCATAGGCCGACGAACAAAGGTAATAGCAAACAATGAAAGCAAACGTTCCGTAGGAATTTTTTCACTTATTTTTTCTTACAGAAAAGAGGATAAACTGAAGGAAGCTTATGTGCTTGGATCGCGAGTTCGATGGTATTTCTTAACGAGAAATCGTTGTTTTATTAAAACACTTGTAAAAGGCGACATTTGCTCGTCAGGGAAAACACCATGTGAAAAGAGATACTTCTCCACTTTTAGGTTAGAGGAAAAGAGATAAAGCTTTCATGATATATTCCGTTAATTACTTTGTTATTGGCAACCTTAGCACACAGATAGAATATAGGGTTATCAAAACAAATGATATTTCACCCTTAGTGATTTACGGTTACCTTTTTTAGAAATGTTTACTGAAATCAGATGAAGCATATTTTGCAAGTTTTGCAGTCAGCCGACTTAATGGAGCCACCTTGATATTAATGAGATCTGCATCGGAAACGCCTACAGCATATTGCAAATGTTTCGAATAGAAGTTGATAAGCATTCGTGACAATTTCCCCAGTCTCACCGATTTTTTATTTAAGGTTAAAACCAACAATAACAAAAGAAAGATTTCTTACATCGTTATTTCCTTGGCACCTAGTTGTGGAAAACTTAGACCGACAATACTCACTATGCGCTACCTGTAACAAAAAACGTCACCCCACTTAAGTTTATTGAGTTTAGAACAATTTTCTTTATCTGTCTCATCTGTGGCTGACTTATGACATCAGACGTAAATAGTTGTTCCCCGCCATATTTCAGGGTGACATATTGAAGGAAAAGTGAAAGTGAAGGCTCACTTGAGTTGCGAACGTTGGCTTTTTACTTCTCCTTTAAATCCAGTTCCGGCAACTTGTACTATTTTAACCCCCCTCTAAGCCGAAAGTCTATCAGGGGAAATTTTTCGGTAAACAGAGGAGGCGAAACCGCATACCAAAGGATAACTTAACAGCTGGGAAGCTGATCAGAAACCCTGCGAACTGGTGGTTTTTCTGAAATAAATACTCTTGTACATTACAGGTGACACCGCGCTGAGCATTCCGTTTCCACCGTATGGCTTACAAAAGGGGCAACATTGATTCATGCACAGCACATGAAACTTTCTTTTATGAACATTTTGATTGGAAGGTAAAAGGATTTTCTTGACAAGATTTTCTATTTTAATTAGAAGGGAAACGACCTGCTTGTTTCTCCACAAGTTACAAACAGTTTAGACCGAAAGTAGGTCTGCATGAGAGGTCGAAGAAAGGCTGTAAAGAAATCCAAGGTCACTGAAAACAGCGCCAAAAGGCAATAATTAATTGGACTTCACTTAGAAAAATGAAAAAATAGATCTGTCAGACATAGACTACTGCTGCAAATTATTAAATAAAACCATGTATACATAATCACCTAATCCTTCATTAGGTTTCGGCTTCCTATGTTTTGTAAAGACGACATTCCTTATTCAAAAATACTAATTACATAATGGTTACAGAGTTATAATTGAAGTATTATCTCCTCTCGCGATAATTTTTCATTAAAGAATGATGTTTAGGCTAGATACTCTTTAGTATGGCGCCTATTGGAATCAGCATTCGGCGATAAGGAGGACCAGTGGAAAAGGATATGCATAACTGTATAAAGACATAATTCATTTGCCAAGCTAATCCTGTGTCTGTATAAACAATCGCTCACGAAGCTTTAATTACATTTCGTAATTGAATTCTGGATATACATGTGCTCAGAGGCTCTTGCCAAAAATTGGCGACAACCCGGCACTGAGCACTGATTGAAGACAATTGGAGATATATCATTTTTCTGGCGATATGATGGATTGCCTTGATAACCAGCACGCTTTAAAAAGACCGCTCCGGATCAAAATTAGAATTTCGCCTAAGCCTAATGAGCCTTCGGTCAGAACTTAATAGGTTGCTTTATGAACTTAGGCATTTTCATCCTCGTTACAGCCAATTTACTTTTTATCAGAGTCGTTCACGGCTTGGTGTCATACAGTTTTACCTTCAAGGGACATGGAAGGTCACCACCAAAGTTAAGATAATAGATTTAATATGCTTTATACCCTTAAGACGTTTAAGATGTTATGACTGCGCCGAGATACCTTATCAATCTTCGTCAAAGACCGTCCACGGCAACATTGAAAAAAGCTGTTTCTCATTGAGAGACCCGAGCTGCCATGATATTCCTTACGGTTTAAGGTGTCATGTTGATCAAAACAGAGTACTTAAAATAAATGTAACATGTTTCCAAAGGATCTTTGTGGCTTTAGGCTACTTAGCTTTCCACGCCATTTCCTCAAATTTAGCGGTTTAGAGTTTCTGTCGGGTTCTTTCAATGCATCAAAACTGAGAAGAAACGTGTCGATGGATTGAATGCGCTTATAACAATACTTTAGCCGGGAAAATCTGCTAAAGCCGGCACACGATCAAGGATTAAATGGCTTGGCAGATTCTATTCACTTGGAAAAAACTAAGGCTATAGATAAATTTAATAACTCGAGCACATGCCGACATGGACTAAACATTTTTTAGCTTGCCAAAACAGACTAAATAGGATCCAGTGGCGACAAACAGGCGACCACCTTATTTTTACTATCTTAGCCACCCAGAAATGCTAATGAGTAATAAATAAAGCTAATTCCTCTTAGTAATTTACTTTGTAGCTAAATTTACAGAATCTCATCGGATATTCTGCGTTTTATAACTTGCACAACTTACACTTGGGCTTATTCTCGGCCTAAGTTTAGTTAGTCAAACATCACAAACTAAAAACTGTACATTTCCAGTTTCATAGCGAGAGGACCCACTAGGACAGATTCCAAATGATGTTAATGAGATGGCTCAAATGCACTCTCTCGACAGAAGTAACATTAAGCAATCTAACCCTGTAACTGATCTGTACTTCTTCCTTCTAGGTTCCACACATGTTTTGCAAAGTGGCGTCGAGAATTTGGTGTTAAATCACGATCACACGTATTAGCCATTCGCATCGCTCTTTTTTCAGGGTAATGTTGAATGATATAAGGAGTTTACATGTATATCATTGGAAATTAAATGAGAAATCACTTAAAACTGTCTTTTCTCCATATTTTCACTAAGGGGTTGAATAATTTTTCTCTACTCGTGAGGGTTAGGTTCCCAAGTGTATGAAGAATAGAGAAACTCACTATCATGTCAGTAAACTAAATACAGCGCTCGCTTTTGGGGTTTTTTTTGGCTCATTTTACGATATGCATTATACACTTTCAGTTCAACTCGCATCTTTTCCAACCTGAGTAAGTGTGGGCGTCTTGAAAAGACGTGAATGATAATAATAATAACATTTCTCAGTTATTAGCAATGTTCAGCTTCTGAGTCTTTCTAACTCATCGTACCCATATTGCAATGCGTTTATTCGGCACCTGAACAAACTGTGCCCCAAGGAACCCAAACTGAGCCATATCCCAGCGGGCTTTTAGTGGAGAGCCTTGTAAGGTGGCATAGTGGCTCTTGAGCATAACCTCGTTTTCATTATTGTCGAGCAGGCAGGGCTTATGGGCGGATGCAGGAGAGCCGACATGCAGGCCATGATCATAGAAGCGGTATGAGTGCTTCACCTTGTTTCCCCAACATATAATTTTGCCACGAAAGGTCTTGTCCTTGCGAGTGTGCTTGATGATATTCCACGTGTAGTCTACGTTGTCAAGCGTGTACTGACCCCATTCATGATCCACAAACATCCTGTTCTTTTTGCTTGGGTTGAATGCAGCGTAGGCATCTTCTGTTGCCGTCCAGTCATTTCCGGAACCAACAAAGGTGAACCGAACAGATTGACGACCAGAAACGAAAAGCATTCGGATGATCGTGTCGTTCAGATGGACTCCAGCATCGATGTTGCTTTTGATTGACAAGTCCACAGTGTCCCTTTGGTGGATATCATGGAACAGGTTGGCATTCAATGGGTTCGTCTTTGATCCTCGGCACATACCACCATCTCTATCAGGACAAACCCAGCTGTAATCATGGGTGACCTTGGCAACAAGGGTCCAACCTCCTCCTGAAGTTGTCATGTCACAATACGCACGAAATGCGTTCCGCTCAGGGTCTGTACCAGCTGGGTTGATCCAGTACATACCATCACCCTGACCCTCACCTTTGAACAATATATCGAGACAGGACTTTCTTGGTGGTGAGTTGCTAATCTCTCCCCGCAGGACAGTCTGCAGTTGATGCCATTGTTTCCGGCTGCAGAGGAAGAGATGGGAAGATTTTTTGTCGTACCTTAGTTCGCCTTCTGTTCGAGCATCGCAAGATCCGGATGTAGACGATGTAAAAATGTTTTTGCAACTACTCGAGCAGCTGTCTCCTTTATCACCCTGAAAGATAATGATTACAAAACGTTAAGCATTTAGATAAGTCTTTCTTCAGATGAGTGCTTTTTACGTTGCCACCGAAGAATACACACAAGTCTTTATAAATTGGGAGAGACTTGATATCACAATATCGCAGAAATATTGTGGGACCCGTCCCATTTTTCACCACCAAAGAAAATCCTAGGTTCAAAGCTTCAACAAACATAGAATTATGGAGAGTAAAAAAAGAGGAAACGTTTGTAGTAGGCACATCAGGAACTATACTTTTTTAATGAAAAATTAAATGTTTATAACCCAGACTAATGCCAAGTAAATACTGGAAAGGATTTCATACGCATTGTTTGCGGGAGGAAGACTTAAGAAACACTTTTAACGTAGTAGTCTCTTTAGAAGTTACATATAATTCAATGAAGCTGTCATTCACTTAGTGTAATGTGAGTGAAATATATACTTTTAAATAGGCCCCTAGTCATTGTCCCCTGTGACGCCAGGGGAAGGATTACAATCTTTTAAGAACCGTAAATGTACGTGTATGCAATTTTAAAACCATTCATTAGTGCGTCAATCACACTAGGTCGTTTTTGGCACAGGTGTAAGCTATTTAAGTCTGATCCATTGTTCATTTTTGAAGCCACTCTAATCTCAGATTTACTTTTTAATCTGTGTTATTCTTAGGATTGTTGCGGGATTGGTCTTCGATTACCTTCCCTTGCCAAATCAACGATTTTTTGAGCTCTCACTAAACTGTTAATTCACCTTTTAAGAACCCAGATTTTACAGCTCTTTGGCTTTTCTTTGGAGTTCTCCACGTCCACAGAAAATACAGTGGATGGCCTTTCAGAAAATTTTGAATATTCATTCTAATGCTTATTAAGAATTTTGTTTCACGATGACAAAGAGTTTTTATAGACATTGTGAGAAATGGGAAATTGTGATTAGTGACTGAAATTAATTTTTATATTTTTCTTATTGATCACTGGAGGTATGCTTACTGAAAGATCTTTGGTGACCTCCCACATCGTGCTGCCCACGAAATCCTTCCCCCTTTCCCTTAAGTGCCTTATTAGTCTCCAAGCCCACGCACCTTTTTTTTAACAAGCTCGAATCCATTTGTAAATATGTAGGGAAATTACCTAGTGCGTTCATTGTCAAGTCGAGTTTGACATTTGCTTCAGGCACTCTAAACTCTAAACTTTCTATGTCTTTCAACTTTTCTACACACGATGATAACAAGACCAATATGTACTCATTAAGTTTTAATGGAGAAGAAGCTCGTTGATGATTTATATTCTAAAGGAAAAGTTATCGATTTCAGGCCTAATTTATTAATTTCATGAAAACTAACGTCATAAAGTATTAACAAAGACCCTTTAGTAAGATTCACTAAACCGACCAAACCTCCCCATCCATAGATGTAACGAGGAAACTGATTCAATGCATCCCTATACTTGAACTTTACACTCAAAAGGGCCTCGCTATACGTGAATCTAATCCGGATGTGTAGTTTGTTCAGCAAATCTAAGTAATTAAATCCTTCTCGGCGAGTGCTCTGCTATGAAAGCTCTACCAGGTTAACGATAGGCTTTCATGTTCAGGAAAGAGCTTACTAACTACCCAGAAAGGCGTAGCAGCAAAAGCTGCTCGAGTAGTAAGTGTTGAACTGTATTGCCAGTCCTCTTCATTAAGGCCAGGAAACTTAAACATCTTCCTTCCTTTACTCGGTTTCTCACGCTAATTTAAATTCGGATCTCAGTGGGGGATATATCATGCAAACTTTCGTTTGGTAACTGAAATGATGTATTTTCGCTCACTTCATTAGAGTAATGAAAGATGTAACCTCTAAGAGCTTCTTAACCTTTGGAGGCGTTTGTATTACCCTACAGGAAAGAGCTAAACTGCCTATTGTTACATGACTTTTGAATCCCCAGTGTGGGCTGTAATTTAAGATTTCCTTTGGAAGGAAATTCCTTGCGATTCCATTCTACGAACAAATAGTGATGGACGAAGTTTTGGCTGTCGGTGAGTTGCTTAACCGAAGCCTGATCTATAATTAGTGCAGTACTATCTTAAGTGCTTGTAACAGGCGGAGAATACTGAACTATCTTAAAAATCATTTTTCAAACTCTGTTATCAGTAAACTGTGGAAAAATATGTCAGGCGGAATGCATCGGGAAACAAGGGAGCGGACACACATACGACTATGATATATTTTTAACAGTCAGTACCTTTTCTTAGAGATGGACAAACTAATTATAAAAAAGATGAGCGTCGTTTGATCATTTTTAAGAAGATCGCCAACGCACTCTGAAATTTTTGTCCACAGCTTCGTTCGTCGACAGATGGGACAGTTTGTAGAATTCCGAGAAAGGTCAACTCGCACTCCTTTTCAGGCGGGGGTCGCGCGCTTAGAAAGATTATATCTCACTGATAAACCGCTGAAAGTGATACGGTTGTACTCTCTTCACATCCCGACAAAAGCTTATTTTAAGCAGGGTGCAAATTATTTTAAGCTATTTTCCATGTTCCGTTTAAGTGAATAAAATTACCAGGTTGATATAAAGCCAGAACTTCAAACCTAATGATAATTAAATCTGTACATGATAAATAATGAAGTATGTGCGGATGGAATTAAATTCTACCTTTTCGCCCTGGCTGCCTTTCTCGCCTTTCGCTCCCTTTTCGCCCTGGAAAAAGATAAAAAAAAGAAAAGATCCAAGGTTACTCCTATTTTTTTTTGAGGTCGTTGTGATTTACGAGTGATTTGGCGGAGAGCAAAAATCTCCGACTGCGTTACACTTGCAAGTTACCTTCGCAGCATGAGTTTAATCAACTGTCATCATGTAGCACATCCCGCGGACAGGAAACAGAAAAGTCTGTTCTTAAAATTATAATAAGCGATCCTAAGATGATGACGGAAGGGGATGAAAAGAATTTTTTTGCCAACTTCAATGAAGTCCGCTTCCCTCAGGGCCTTCTAGAATCGGTGCCATCAAAGCTTTGAGTGCAATCTCCGCCTTAAACCTTGCCAGCTTTTGGGAAAATTTCCCAATCTAACCACAACGTTTTTTCAGCTTTCCACTAGGCATTTCCTTTCACAATGTAGCTCTTGTTGCGGTTTTTCCGCTTTACAGTGGTAAGGTCAAAGTCAATACATTTGTTGAAGGAGGGCCACTGAGCTATACTTCGCTATTTGTTGATATCCGCTTACAAATCATATCACAGAACTCTTGAACGAGTGAGGTAATATGACGATTAAGGAACTAAATGAATTCCACGCATACAATGTAAATAACAACTCGAATATAATTGCTGGATAAGCTGGAGAGTGCACGACAACAGCTATGCATAATGCGCCTCACTGTTACCTACCCTCTCTCCGCGCAGGCCGTTGATTCCCGACAAAAACACTTCCCCGAGCTTGATCCTGCCCGAGGAAAGCATAAGTTGGCCTCCGTGTTTTGGTTTAAGCGTTAACCTTGCTTCTCTGTTTTGCCTGGGAAGATACGAGCAGATACATTATGTGAGGTCAGTAAAATTAGAAACGAATTACCCGATAATGATTTAGAACCTCATCAAAAGTACATCACTCCGGCACGGGAATGTTAAAGCTGGCCACACGAGCTTGTAGAGGGTTACACGGGCCTCTAGGCATCAGACGTCTTTTGTATAACTTACCCTTGGCGTTTGGATGCCAGTGAAAAATCCCACCAATAAAAGGCGACACATAGCACGGCGATTCCCTGTACTAGCGAGACTTGCATGTTAACTACTGTACAGCATACCTCATAACAAGTGAATGAGAAACTCTGGATCGCAAGGCCTACATTACAAGTAGCCCACTGATTGGCCGATAGAAATGACAAGGCCCCATCACTCAATTAATGATAACTGAAGGAGTGCGGTTCGCAAAATGACATGCTGTACAATCTTTTATTTGTGTAAATAATTAACAGCTCCATAAACACCGGAAATAGATTAATAAATGCACTGATTGAATGCAGGCAATTTAGAGCACATTTCATGCGGCCTTTGTGCTCAGTGTGTTCAAAGCTTATCCTAGCTCAATAGAAGCCTGTTGTTTACTAATTACATCCCCGAGAATTGGTAAAATTAGCCTTTTCAAGTTGATCAAAAATATCGGTTATTTATGCAGTGCACAATCAGAGAAACTTTGGCTGCAACAATTACATCAATGGAACGCGCTGTTGAATTGTGAACATTTTTAAAACTTTGACGAATAATAGAAGACGATTTAAAAGATTTTATCAGCTACTATACCCCGGCTTCACGGTAATGGTTTATAAATGAGCTAAATTAATCACTTTACGCCAACAAAGTGTCTTAGCACTAATTACTGCCGGAAAAGCACTTTACACATCACCTAATAAAAGGAATGAATGCGTGGTGGAAGGGCAATTAGATTACAGCATTTCGCTGGGTTAAAGTTAACGAACATACCGATCCAGCTGTTCATGTCTGCGTTTAGTCTTGATTTTTCTGCATTTCTCTGATAAAAATCAAATTTAAACATGATATCCAGGGTGACGCACACTGCAAATAAGAACTTACGACAGCGGTGATGTCTTGTAAAGTGTTATTGTTTGAATATCTGCTTTATCGCCTCGAGTACTGCGCGCCGCCCCGTTATCCAGTCCTCGTTAGATTCAAGAGAAACTCTGACACATTTCCGGAGCAGCTGACCTCTCGTGCGATTACACACTTCGAGAAAGATTGACTACAAAATGTTTTCACGTTTGACCAGTTACATAGTCTCTAAGTCTTTTAAAGCGAATTTTTTCAAATGAATAACAATTATTTATTTTTGCTTTGCTTTTTTATCTGAAACTAAAAGTCAGCTTTACCCTGAAAGACTGGCTTCAAAAAATTCCTCTACATTTGACGCAGTGACTGCGATACCATAAGGTAAATTAGCGGCTTTTTATCTTAAAGGAGGAAAAATTTGACACGTATGACTTACTATTACAATAACAAAAGTGTTTTTGTAGTTAACCGTGAAATGTGGGACAGGAGTCTTTTTTTATGTTTAAGTCACTCGTTTGTGTTTGTTTTGGTAAATCTTTTTAAGGGCGACTCCCAAAGTTTAGTGCGCGGTATTATTTTTATTCAATTTCTTTACAGAATTATTTCCAACATGATAACCTAGTCTGGATGAGAAGGGTACCGACTCAATAGCGTCTATGCCAACTGGTCTCCAGTAAGCGTTTCACACCATAAGATGTACACGAGTAACAGACAGGACTGCAGAAGAGGCTGAAAACCAGCGCCTATTGCGCCTACATGAATACATCCTGAATAGGAAATTAAAAAAAGGGAAAGAGTTTAAACCTCATGAGCACCCCATCATTTAAATATTCAGCCATATAATAAATGCATGAAACGTCTGAAGGGTTTATATCTCACGGGGAAATATGTAAGAACACAAAGGGTAGACAAAATGACGTTCCAACGTCGATATTTTTATTTCGATATCGGGTTTGCAGGGCCTATTCACCCGAAGCTGGTAGTGATATTTGTTACTTTACGCTGAATTTAGAGTATCTCAATTGAACTCTCGGGATATACTTGTGTTATGTTTGCTTTGTAATGCCCTGTCTTTTATTCTAGAGAATTACATCACCCCCTCAACCAATCAGATCCAATACTATAACGGATAATGGCTCCATTTGGAACTTGCATTTTCTTAAATTTTTTTTACTGTAAGAGTTGGCGTTTTCTCCTCAAACCCACCTCCCCGGGGTTTCAATAAGTGCCGGTTCCGCAAATAAGACCTCTTGCCACCGTCTATGTAGCCTATGAGCGGGCTTTCGATAGTGTTTGGGTTTCGCCTTACGACTCCTATCAAAGTACAGCCGCGTATTGAATCATCGGCAGCCGGTTATGGAAAAAGTTATCAGTTGTAACCCTGGACTTCCCTTTGTTGTCATTAGCTGCTGTATGAACTGTGGCTTGATCTTACGATATTTTGTGAAATGTGCTCTATGACATCATCACTTATAACTGGCTGTTAGGAATTCGTTTAGTCATGGAGGTCATAGACCCTTTTATTCTTCACTGTCTCAGACAAAGACACACCCAGTATAGTTTCAGACTATACATAAGAGCACTTCTCAAGAAATTTTCATCTTCCTGCATAGTTGCACGCTAACTGAATTATGTAATTGATTAGGGAAAAATTCGAAAGAACTCCTTTTGAAATTCTCCTGTTGCAACTTAAAATTAAACAGGCTGAAAATGCCGGGTAGTCTTTTTTCTTGCATCCTGGAAAATACAACCCTTTTAGCTTGCTATCGGCAATTTATCGTGCTATTTTTCATTTCGGAACATATTTAATATATCTTGTTTTGTTTTGGTCTCTCGTGTGTTTTTCCCTCTTATCGAACTAATATTGCATAGCCTCAAAATTTCGTGATGACGCTCCTTAAGCACCCAAAAACGACTGTTTTTTCCTTCTGCTCCTTAGGGCGACGTACTTGACGGCTAAGAGTCTCTACGGCTTATAACGTCATGGCTATGAGAGAGTAAAAGTATTCAAAAGACTAATGGCTCACGTCTCTCTCTCTCTCCCTCCCTCTCTCTTTCTCTTTCATTTTTTTTATCACGACTACAGTATCTGGCAAAACTTAATCATGCATTTCTTCAAATTCGAAATTCATGATCTTCTCATACTAACAAAGACACAAGAGCGTCAGCGCAGCTGATCATATTCTTACATCGCATGATCTTTGATATCGGAATATACTTCGATTTAAAGCTTGTGTTTTTCTTTCTGTTGTCGTCATGTATTGTAAGCTCTGTCGGTCAGAAGAAAGATTGTCCAAGATCTGTCTATGAACCAATTGTTCAAGGTCAAGGTGGCTGTTTTATAGTGACTGGCTCATTGTTGTTTAGTTGGTGGAGAAGAGGGATAATGTAGGCCAACTGAAATCGGCTTATCCTTGGTGTATGAACCTGTCATGTTCACGAGTGACGCACGTGCACAATAACAAACCCAGAAAAATACTGGTGACCAAGAAAAAAGGAAACAAAACAAGCAAAACAAAACAAAAAACCTCAACAGGTCTCTACAACAAAACTAAACTTTAAAAATCGACGACGCAGTAGATAAGATTAGGATTTCTGGGACCGTCCACGACCTTACACCCTTAGGTTTTACACGTTGAGACTGAATAAATCAACGTGATGTTTCCATTAGTCAGTGAGTTCAACATATTTGAAATTTTTGCTCAATCTGATACAAAGAACTATAACGAAAAAAACTGGCGTGTTCCATAACCAATTCTGTAGTTGTGGTTTCTATGAAGGTCTAAAAGTCACTTGAGTCTACAAGCTTCAGTTTACCGGTAAAAATCGATGGAAGCAAATATTAAGGATCTCGGAGTATGACAATAGAAATCCCTTTTCTTTGATAACAAATTTTAAGAAAAGGCTGATGTAAATTGGTCGTAATTTCCTGCAGTGCGACCTGGAGTTGAAGAATTTGAGGCTGTCAGCTGCTCACTCATTTTGAAATATCTTAGGTGTGAACCTCTATGAATGTCAAACCGACTGCGTCTCAAAAAGTGTAAACCACAACTTTATAAAAGTGTTTTTTTCAATGTCAAAATAGTAAGGCGACGCAACTGTGAAGTAGAATAAGGACTAAGGAGAAAGACTGGGGAGAGATTTCACGTGTGCCAAACTCGCGCGTTTCACACCATTTTAAGACACGGTTTTCGAGCAGAAATTCAGCAAACGAGAAAGGAATTTTCTGCAGCCTTCATCCACCTACACAGCGGATATTGTCTAAGTTCTTTTGTTCTGATTTCATTCAGTTGTTTCATGAGCCCACTCGTTTTTTTTTCCTATATTTGTCGATAAAACGAGACCATTTTTCGTCCAAATGTTCTTCCTTCTTCGCAAATCATCGTATACGCAAGTTGTGGTAAAGATATCATGCACTTACATACTGCATTTTGTTTCTAAATCAATCAAAGTAGAAAGCTCCTGAACGCTCTCTGGGGTAGGCCGGGAAATCTATTGGCGAGCTATAAGTCACTCTCACAAAGCTGTTTTTTAAAAAGGACTTTTTGTTCTCAATTGTGGACCACCTGGCTAGCGGAAGCTTCTTTTTACGCCCACTTCATACTGACAGTGAATTCACCACAATTGTTGGATTAACACGAATAACCAGACAAAGTGTCTTATAAATAAAAATAGCTGCACTGATAAAACTTCGCTTAAAAGCTAAGTAAGCTTACCCTCAATAAAGTGAGACTGCAGCGGAAATTATGTCATATAACTGACATATTTAAAAATAGCTGAGCTTTGCTCGGGTGCTAAAAATTATGGTTCTTAGTTACATTTATGTAAGCAAAAAATTGATTATTTGGTTTTGAACTGATTTAAACTTTGATCTGATTCCCTAAAGGATGAACATTTAACATCCCAACTTTCAAAATGCTTGTTATCAATCATATCTGTGGTTACCATATAACTAACTTCACTCTGACCAAAGAAAAATTGTAGGCAAATTAAAAATTATGCCAATTGTGCGTTCTACGGAACGCTTGAGGATCATCTCGCAAATTGGTAATCGAGTAACTGCACTGAACGAAACATGTCGAAACACGTTTTGTCCAGAGTTAAACGTACAAATGTAACATAGTTGATGGAAATAGCTCTGTTTCACTATTGTTATATTATAAAAGTTTTCAACTTAAGCCTTTTTCATTTGTTCTGATTATTAAGAGTATGTGATTGGAGAATTCAAACTGTTCTCAATTGAATGAAGATATCTCTCGGGACGAAGCCTTCGGTCCGTCCTGAGGCGACACATACTGCGAAAAAAATGTATCAATGCGTGAATATTCAAATATAGTGGCATGCAAGTACAGCTATTTTTTTTAAGAGATAAAGGTAGCAATTTCTTCCTCTCAGGTAACTGCTGTGTCTCGATAAATAACTGAATCGATGAATAAAAATAATTATGGTAAACAATAGGTAATTATTGGCCAAAGCCTACACGGTCCCCGTTTATCCTCCAGACTGATGAGAGATCAAAACCTCAACTTAATGCATCAAGTTTAATATATTCAAACAGGATATAAATCCACTGAAAGAGGGATTTGGAAGCTCGAGACACTTCTCCATGTCAGCTTAATGCAACACTGCTCCGCCCAAGGCGAGCTAACTGCCACAGGATCATGAGTAATGGAGTCATACGGTTATCAATTCATTTGTGACTTCTACACAGTTTCTTCAGCTTCAGTCTTAAGCTTTAAACAGATTACATAATCATTTCGATGTAGAGAAAACTGTTTCGACACGTTTTGACACGTGCGCAGGACAAAGAGCAACTCTGACTCTCTTCAGTGAAACCAAAATCCAGTGCCCCGACGATCTACCGCAGTGCCATAGAGAACTTGATGGAGCGAAAAGCAGTTCATATCTTATAGGCATCCTGCTTACTGCTGTAATCAGCGATTTCAAAGGCACTTTATGTCATTGGTGGCACACTTCCACGTAGGCCCACCCCGAATTAATGGCCACACATAATGATGCACTGTCTGCATAACACTCAGTTCCCCAAGTCTTTTCATTCCTTTCGTAAGAGGCCGTAAGTACACCACTGCTCTTGTGAAAACTACCACAGCGAGTGAGCGACGTTTTCGAGCTCTTTCTTGAGAGCTTTACTCTCATAACCAGCATATAATGAGACATAATAAGTCTGTTATCTCGCCGTCTAATCTCAGGATAAGCTCCGGCTAAGATAGAAAATAAATTAGATTACGACGTGCCAAGTTCACGCTGGTTTTCTAGCTTAGACAGCTGACTAAGTAAAAAGCTCTTGACATTAAATTTGCAACCCACGCTTTCAGACTACAGTTTTGAGAGCAAATAACTTTTCAGACCCATTTAATGAGATTACTTTGATCCTGTAATAAAATGTGTTTTCATTTAGATCGTAACTGTTGTGGGATTCTTATATGTATTATTTTTTTTAAGCTTTCCGGCGAGAAACATTGTTTGAATGTTTTCTCGAGGTTTAGACAACAGGTCTGGTTGTGTCTTAAGAAGAAAAAAAACAGTGAAATCTTATTAAAGTTTCCTGCTTTCCTTTTTCTTATCTGTTAAAAATACTTTAAGATACACATTCAATCATTTTTATCCATTTATTCTTTTGGTTGTTTATTTAATATACCTAAGCTTTCATCTTATTTGACTGATTTATGTAATATTTATCCTTTTATTTTATTGCCAACCAGTGTGATTCAATAATGAATCTTTATTCATATCCATAAATACTACCTCGCTGTATCCAACTTTGGGATCCAGGTATGGTGTTCATTTGAAAGACATTAGGAACGGCTCCGTTAAACAAATGACTTAATAAATTGACGATTTTATTGTAGCCATTAAATTCGACTCATAAATTTGAAATGCGCGAGTGTGCTTCATATTTTTCTCATGCACACTTATGAAGTGTGTTTACCCATTGATGCGTAACAGACAAAATTTTCATATGATACAACATTTTATGAATTTAATGCGTTAAAACTCTTATGAAACGGCAATTAAATAATGGGTCAGCTGTGCTTTTATAAAGATATGAAGCACTTGGGAAGTTAAAGGAGTACTCAAGAATATCAGGCGTCGAGCTCCTCTTACGCATTTTTCAGAAATTATTTAATTTTTATCCGTAAATTTTGAGACTGGCGCTGTCTCAGGATGACTCTTCACTTCCCCGATGACCCGTCTTCTCTGAGTTATGAGCCATACACAACTGACCTGACCTTTATTTGTGAAGTGTTTGTAGTTTCGCAGTACGATTAGGACGAACAGATAGAAAGGGCGTAATTTGGATCAATATCAACATCTGGGCACGGAACCATATATAAAACCAGTTCCTAACTTTACCTAGAAAGGTAGAAAAATTAAAATTGTCTTTGTATTATCAAGGAAGCTGGAAAGGAAAGTTCTGCTGCTAGGCGTTCCCGTTCCTTCCTATCCAGCTTAAGTAAATTTTTTTTCGCCGAATGCCTTTGCGTGACTCGCGCTTAGCTCACGTGTCCCCTGCTTTGTCGAGACAGCCTTCCCTGGTTGATTAGCTCGTCAAGATCAATCACGCGTACAAGTTTGATGGATTTAACTTCTTTTATTCTAAATCACCATTCTGTGGCAGCAGACTCTCATATCCACGGAGGAGCTGCCACCTTGAGAGATTGCTTTCCAGCGACCTTGGTAGTTTGCGTATTCTTTACATAATTTTCATTTACTAGAAGTTTCCTTATCTTGGCCACACGTGATGTAAACGTGCTCGCTTGAGTCACGTTATATATCATAGTGAACCACAACAAACGGGGGAATTACGAATTGTTTTCCAATGGACTTTTGACTATGACCCAAAGCTTCACCAGAATCACTATCTCGAAGAAAACATCAACTGAAATGATTTAAAACTTGCGTGAAATTACATTAAAAATTGATAGAATATTTTCAATGTCTCCAAAACTTGCGTCTTTACGTAATATTGAATAGTTTACCGTGATTTTACTACTTAAAACAGAGAACATATATCCTTCACGGTAGGTGGTTTATCCATGTGTTCATATGACATTCAGCGGACTCTAATAAAGGCAACTGAAAGAGTTTCACAGGCAGAAGTTATCTTCGCAGTTGAAAGAGAGTTAACTCGGAGTCTTACTGTACCAAGATACTTTCTCTACGGTATGTACAACAATCCTTGATCCGATTTTGTTGATATCTGCGCTGCTTTTACCTTATCCTTGAGCGACGGTAGGAGGCAGGATTTAAGTTTATAAAAATGGCAAAGGAGTGGGCAAAGTTTCTTCTTTGCCTTTCACTCGTTTGCGCTGTAATCAGTATGGAAATATTTTCATTTGTTGAAAGTAGAAGCTATTTTCGTCTTTTTTGGATCCATGTATCAGAATCAGAGGCTGGGGGTCTCAATGAGGCGATGACTTTTACGGTTGACGGTAAATATTTTGGCTTATTTACGCCCAACGATTAATTTCTGTAGTTATTAAAAGAACACATTTCTACGGTTAACTTTTTCTACGACTAACAATTCAACTGTGTAATTTTTTACGCCTAACGGCTAACACTAATTGAGACCGTCAGCATATGCAAGAGAATTCAAAGTTGATTTTTGCCGATTGCGTCTACAGTATTCATGTTCGGGTCATCCTTAATTGTTACAACCTGTATCTGCACTGCAACAAGGTGGTAAATGTGATGAATATGCAGCTGGACTGGACCAAAGATTTGTCTTTTTGTTTTTCGACGAGCTTAGTTTTCTCGCTTTGCTGGAAACCTTAAAATCGCAAGGCAAAAAAAATTTAGGCGCGACCTGTGCGCAATTGTGATCGTTTACGTAAAAATTTCTTTCTCGTTTCTTGAACCGCAGTTCAGTTTTATGATTATTTTACACTCACAGTAAAAGAAAGAAGGAAATAAAGGATTAAATTTCGTGAACAACTTGCAGATTTTCTTTGACACGCGCAGTCACGCGCGTTTGACATCAATTTCGATTTGTTTCCTTACCTCACGCGACATTCGGAGGACATACACGACCATCAAAATATGCATATTCAGCTGATGGTCATGGAGAATGAACACTCATGATAAAGGCTCGTAAGGCCGGCCTTACCTTACGAGGGGCGGGCTGTTTCACCTCGGCAGGTAGGGTAACCATGGCAGATGGGACACTTTTTTATCGACTATTTTTGAGTCATTCATGTTTGAGAGCCGATAAAGGCATTGCGTGATAGGTGACAAGTTGACGCGAGTAGCGTTGTCTGTACTCTTAACGACAACCGCAAATTGGCCAATCAGACTGCAATATTATTACTCGGTGGTAAATATGTTTTTCTTCTTGATGTTTCTGTTGCTTTGAAAAAAAAATTAAAGATGCTGCGGTAAGTGTGAACACTGCAATAAACAAAAAAGATCTGTTGTTGTTGACCTCAAGTAAAACCAATTTGAGTGTCAGGAAGGAAAAATTTTATCCTATATGAATTATATCATTTTACCTCCCTGTATTTATTTGTTCAAAATTATGTCCATTTCTTCACTTTCAGAATTTAAAGAAGCTAGCATGCATAGGCACGAGGTGGTTGTTCTCATTTCTTTATTGTACCTGCTCGTTCGCGACGTCGAAGGCCTCTGTCCTCCAAACACACAATGTTTTGGAAACGGTGACTACAATGCAAAAGCACAGAGCTGTAAATGCTACACTCGACGGAGAATCGGAAGTTTCACGGGAGAGTGCTGTGAAAGTGTCGACTGCAAGCCTAATGCGACTTGTGTACATGGCTTCTGTGGAGCTGATGGTTTGACTTGCAAGCGTTGCCTAACAGGGTGGACTGGACTCAACTGCGAGAAAGTAGACTCCTGTTTTCCTTGGCTTCATTGTGTGCATGGCTCCTGCAAAAAGTCCCGGATGAAGTGTGAATGTGAACCTGGCTGGGTGGGTGACCTGTGTGATCGGTCCTTGTGTACAGTGAACTGTACCTATGGTGCATGCCCAAATGATCCCAAAAAATGCGAGTGCTATGAGAACTTTTATAGCCCTGAAACAGGATGTGACAGGTATTGTTTATTAGTAATTGGTAAGCTTTGGAGACTAATGATGTTGGTTAAGCAATAGAGAGCAATAAATTTCTGCTAATGTAATTTGTGCATTTTGAGAAAATTACAGTGTTCATTTGAAATAAGGACAGCTTACTATAATTGACTTCAGGGACAGGGATTAAGGATGCCTCTATGGCAGAATTATTTTTACAAACAAAAAGCTAATTCAAACAATTCAAGCATGATACAATAACGGCCTAATCACCAAAGCAGCAATAGCTTTCTCTTCAGAGACTAAATAAGTGTCATTAATAAACATATCTTCTAGAGATACCTGGAGAACTATCCTTCCCTTTCCGTCTAACACTTAAAAAAACCTGGCAGCACTGTGACATTCAGGCCGACGCTTTGATTCTCCCTTTCTGTTCCCTCAATTTTTTCGCCAAAGACAGCACAAGATGAAACAAGCCCTTGTCAAGCCTGTGCGTTTTTTGTGTGTTTATAGGTCTTACTGTGCGAAGGACTGGGAATGTAAAAATGGCGGATATTGTGTTGACCTTCACCATTGTGCTTGCCCGGCTCACTATACAGGTCAGACAAACGCCCTTGATTACCAGCCGCTGTTAGGGAATACGAGCCCGCGCTTCCGCCCCCGAACCCTTCTCTTCTCGGAGAGGGGCGAAGAGCGGGCGCGAGAGAGTGGCGGAAATCGAGCCTAATGATTACTCCTAGCGAGGAAATGCTCTTTTTATGTAGTATTTGGAAAAAGTGTCTATGAAATTAACGCTTTCTAAAATCAATTCAACTTTTTTTTATTTATCAAGAACCATCCCTTTGGTTCCATAGAACTTTTCTGTATTGTGGCTGATCATTCATGACGATGTTAAGTTTGGTTTGAAAACGGTTCCATTTAAATATAAACAAAATATAAGTGCACCACTCTTCCTCTGAATAAAAACAAGAGCCTTAATGTATCAGTTTTTTTTTTCAAATGTCGCGTCAAAGCTTCAAAGATTGGCTATTCTGCACAGTGGGGCTCATAGACACGACATGAATCTCAACAAACACTGAGGAAACTGGCAGGAAAAATCACAACTCCCTTAATAGTAGAGTTTATTTAAAACAAAACAATTGGTTGAAAGAAACTGAATCGAGCTGACACCAAATGATGTTGATATGAAATGACAAACGGCAACATTCTCACCAAGGAGAACTTGAACTAGGAGGGGGGAGAATGGTAGACTGTCTGCACGATGAACTGGCATCGTATCCAGGGTATAGTAGTAAATTCTTAATCACTTTAGGGCTCTGAGACTGGGGTAAACTCTGACTGGATTTATCTTCTAACTTATAGGCTAAATTCTCCTTTTTTTTCTTTTTCATCCTCCTCTTTTTTTACTTTTTTGATTTGATTTTGTTATTTGTCTTTTATGTATGCTAGGTAATCACTGTGAGACCATCAGTGGGTGTGGCGTCCCTTGCGAGAATGGACACTGTTCCAAGAGTCCATACGAGTGTGAATGTGTGCCTGGCTGGGGACCTAAAGGAAAATGTACAAAATATGTCGGAGCCTGTTCAAATTGCAACTCTGAGGGAGGGACTTGCGAAGATGGGCCTAACACGTGCAAGTGTAAACCAGGTTTGGGCTTCTGAGATTTCCTTTTGTTTGTCACATAATATTCTGCTTCACAGAATTTATTTATCAGAGAGATAAAAAAAACGAGAGTCATCAAGAAAACTTGTGTATAGTCATTGCAAAAGTAACGACCCTCCAATCAAATTGACCTTAAACGACCGATGAAAATAAAAAATAAAGAAATTCCGTGGTTGGCTTTGAAAGGCTGCGACTGAAGAAATGTTTCCTTTTTTAGTATAAATCAAAATTTCTTTTGTCTTTGAAAAAAGCTTTGCTCACATTTCTTAAGCATACTCAAGTAGTTTTGATAGCGGCCTACCAGGCCAGTCAGAATCATATTTACCTTAAAAAGCATGATGAAAATTAAAAAGAAAATCAGCGGGTGGCTTTAGAAAGCTGCGACCAAAGAACTAATCAATTTTTTTATAAAATGGCAGATTCTACTTTGTCGCTGAAAAACTCTTTGCTCGCGTTTCAAAAGTATACTCAAGTAAGGCAGGGCAGCGCACAAAGATAGACGAGAGAGTTAAATTAATTTAAGGGGTAACGATGTGCAAAAGAAAAAAAAGATTCTCCCTCGACCTCGTTGACTGCACTTCACGCTACAGTGCAATTCTTCCCCTTTTTTTTCCTTTGTTGGTCGGCTTCGCTGACCGAGACAATGTAAATGTTTCCACATTTGCGACAATTTTAAGAACTAAAATGGCCCTCAAGTGGCACATTATTAGTTACATGTAAAACCAAAAAGTAATTTAGGGCTGCTATAAATCTCGAATTAAACCCTTAACTCTTAAGATCTCATTAGTAATTCTCGTTATTGTCTGCCATATAATTCTTGTGATGATCGTTTGGAGAATTTGGTATTGGATCAACTAATAATTCCTTAACTAATATTTCTCTTTATTCTCATAATTTTTATACTTGATATTGTATTGATATTATAAAGATAAATTCTGTTATGGTCACTCATAGGAGTTAACTCATGTTTCGGCTTTTTTTTTTCGTAAGGATATACCGGTCTTGAATGCGCACAAAAGAATTGTGATGGCTGCGAGAATGGCTCATGCGACTTCGGCCCTTTGGGTTTAAAGAAATGTCGCTGTGACGAGGGTTGGGCCAATGAGATCCATGTACCTGGCTTTAATGTATTTTTCGGACCATGCACAAAAGTGAAATTATGCTTACAACCATGTGTGCATGGCTCATGTCCAAATGATCCATACGAGTGTGAATGCGATGGTGTTTATACTGGCAAAGAATGCGACAGGATACAATGTCCAGTGTGTTGTCCTCCTCTGACTTGTGACTGCTCCAAGCCAAAAAGACCAAAGTGTCTTCCAAGCTGGCACCATGACTGTTGCTTGGTAAAGTCCTGCTTTACAGGGGACACCTTGGTCCACACCGCTAATGGAATGGTGCCCATAGAAAAAATCGAAGAGGGAGACTTAGTAATAGTTCGTCATGAAGACGATGCTCCTGCCATTAGCTACTTGCGTCGCGTTGACCAAGTTCGGAAGAGGCTGTTTCCTGCACGAGATCTCATCATGTTCCAAACAGAGGACGAGGTTATAAAGGTCACTCCTGACCACCATTTCTTCGAGAGCCCATCGAACTCGTGGATGAGTGCCAAAAAGATAAAAACGTCACATCTGCTTCAGGCCTTGGACGGAAAAATGGTAAAAATTCAGAAGCACCTAACGGCGTCGGAGCTGTTACCATCAGCTGACGAAAACGAACTTGTGGCCGTGTTCGATCTTTCGGTGAATGAGTACGATCGATATTCCGTCGGAAAAAAAGGAATTCTTACGGCTTCGTGTAACAGCACGGATGATCTCAAGACTCGAGACAAACAAGTGTGGGGTAATTCAATGATCCGACTCCTTCATAATATCGACGCTAAGGAGGTGAGAATTTACTACTAGATCACGAGTTGTCCATCATGAAAAATTTTTAAGTAGTTCATTTCGTTTGGCTGTATTCTAATCCCTGTATCTATTGAAGGTGTTGCGTGGCTGATTGTTGTTAGTCCCCGGTGGTCCCTGTGGTCCCCGGTAGTCCCCGTTAGTCGCCGTTGATCCCCCGATAGTATCTGCGGTCTAGGGTTTAAGTCCACCTTCTTGCCACTCTCCCGATTTGTTATCAGTTGCCCTGATCGCAGCCCCTCGGCTGGGTTTACACCCCATTTATGCTTATTTGGAAACATTTATTTCATTCTTTGTTTACAATGGCCCTGGAAAGCCTCATCGGGAGAGTAGTTATTTCAGAGATTATCATTGTTAAAGTATTACCATTAATCTTGTCTTTCGTCTCTCGCAAACTTCCATAATTTTGTTGTTTTGTTTGGCAGAGTCGAAATATTGTCACTTATTTCTATTAACATGAACAACGCCTTCGTGAATGGGATGAACCTCTGATTTCTCTCTCTATTTTTTCCCTCTGTTTATTTGTTAATCATCAACTAGAAGGTGTAAGATGATTAACAAAATTAATTTCCTTCATAATGCAAATCGGAGGGGGGGGAGAGGAATAGTAGAGGAGGGGAAGGGGGCTACGTTTACTGATGCCAAAATTTTCGCCGTCCCTTCCCATCCCCCCTGAATTTCTCATTGTCTTGCTGATCATGTGTTCATGTCCCTTTTTTTTTCTTTACCAGATCATTCCACCGGTGGAAAAAGATCCAGCAGGCTTCCCAATCTATGTGTTTGTCATAATTGCCGTTGTCCTTGGCGCCATATTGTTGATCATTGTATTAGTGCGAAGGAAGAAACGCCAGAGGAAGTATGACTTACAGAGAGAGTCACTGATCGCTGCAAGTGCGCATGCACAGTAAGCCATTTCTGAGCTGCAAAACCCCTCACTTTCAAAACGAGGCCAGTTACAGTATTATCAACTGAGTTGATAACGTAAATTAGCTACCGTTAAGAGTTTCAAAGCGGACGTTTCGAGCGTAAGCCCTTCTATCATTCGCTCAGACGAAGTGCTAACGCTCGAAACGTCAGCCTTGAAACTCTTTATAGTGGCCAATTTACATTATCGACTCAGTTGATAATACTGAATAATTTCTCAACTACGCCCCCTGACAAAAATAAAAAACAAATTACTTTTTGGCACAGAGAAATTGTATCGAGAATACGAACAAACAGAAAACGACAGCCATATGAAATGCCTGATAAACACCTCTGCCACCCTATGACATCATGCAAAATCATCCAAGGTGGGAGGGTGGGTGGGTGGGTGGGAAGAAAAACGGATCAGTACAATGTAAAACCTCTAGTGTGCGCTCGAGGTGAAAACTGACGCGAAATGAAACACGAAACTCCAAGAGCCTGAAACTTTGCCAAATAATAACAATGGTTTTCCAATAAAAAATTTTGCATTTGACTCTGGTCAGTGAGAGCAGTAGCATTTGGATCTTAAAGGCAGCTGATTCTGTCTACTCTTTCAAACATCGAATTGTTATGAGATTCCCAGTAAGTTTCATTTAGAAACCTGTGTCACTCACAGAATATTTTCGTTTAATCATTTTCGTCATCTTGTTTATATCATGAAGTGGAGCGCGATACTATGTTGAGTCACGCAACACCCAAAAAATTTAGTGTTGTTCTTCCATTTTTTATTTGTAGTGAATAACATAAAGATGGGTGCCTTGTTGAATAAAATATTTTTTTGGGACTATATGGTTTTCAGGTTTGCTGTTAATTGCATAGAACCTTTAATCGAAACCAATCGTATTCCGATCTGTCATGAGGTCAATTGTGCTCCGTTCAGCAGTTGGTCGAAGGTTCAAATCGTTTTTTTTTTTGTTTTGTTTCTTATTTTGTTCGTGACGTGTTTTGCAAAATAAGCACATTGTCCATCGACTTTTTGAGCACTTTTCTATCATGGGAGGAACAATTTTCATATTGATGAAAATTATCATTTAAACCTTAAAATTCTAAAGAAGTTTGTATTTACTCGTGAATGTCACGAGATATTGTATTTGCTGTAATTGTAGAAAATGAACAAAAAAGCGGAAGTGACGCGGGGGGCTTCCCCTGATTAGTTATTCTCAGAAAGTATCAAGGTCGTTTTTGATTCATTTATAAATCGAGATTACATTCGCCTCAAAAGATTGTGACTACAGAAACTTCAGTTTCAAGATAACAAAAAGGATAAAAATTCAGATCTGTTTTTCAGTGGTTATGCATTTGTGTCGAGATGACCGGTATTATTAGGACAAAAATCTTTATTATGCAAACTTGTGATCGTCAACAATCAATGTTTTTTCGGTGTCATGACGCTGAGGGTAATCCCCTGATGAGTTTGAAGACAATGACCTTTTATCAAAGCTATTGCCAGAAACGATATATTTGGCGGGGAACTCAATGTGGCATTAAAGTATCTTAAAAGTATTTACAAATTTCTTGATAACAAGAGTGATATCAATGGGTTCTAGAGAGCTTCATGGTAGGTATTTCAAAAGTTGCGAAACCCATGTCCAAATACAGGATGACATCAAATGTTTCTGCAAATTAAGCAGGAAGTAAAAGGGACGTCCCCCGGAAGGCCGAGTTAATTTCTAAACAGCTATTGGCTTATTTCCCTCTTACGATATTCATGTGACTTAGAACTCGCACTATTATAAAAACGAAAACACGCATTTCATTCGCATTTCATTTGATTGTCACAGTTTCCTGTGCTTCGCAAAGTGCTAAAGAAGTCAGTGTGAATCTTCAGTCCACGGTGAGTTTGTTAGCCTCCTTAACATTTATAACATAGTACGGAACTATAATTTTGGCTAAATGTTTCTTCTTTGCTGCTATATTTGTTTAGAGTTGAACCGAAAACGTTGCGTTCTCAGTTTGCCACTGCATGTATCTGACGACATGCTCCCATTCTGTGGTCCGATCTTCAGTTTGATTTGTTCACACTCAGGCGGGACCAAAATCACTTAACCGATTGGAGATTAAGCAAGTAATTTCGACACTATTTTAACAAAATGGACGCTTCTAGCTAGAAGCGCATGCAAGCTATCAGAGCGGAAGTGATCTGACAAGGAAATTATTTCATTTTCCGAGTTCTAAATAGACGTTTCACTCTTCTTGAATTATTTTCACACAGTCTCAAGGCCAGTGACTTTTGGTATTGCAAATTTAGTCTTCTTCTATAGCAAGCCGGACAGAACTGAGCCAAAAATGTGAAATTTACTTCTTGTGAATTAAAAGGGAAAGCAGTTTTATAAGTCCAGTAGGTCATCATCAAAAGTTGAATTCTGAGAAAGAAAGTCTTTTTGGTGTGCGTTACAACATGCATTTAAGAGGTCACACGTTGAAACAAATCATTTTTATAATTATCTGTTGAGAATCAGTGCTCAAGCTCATAATTTTCATCTATTTCTACGAAGTTTCCGGCCAATTGTTTTCTAAATTAAAACCGAAACAAGCATAGCTTGATACAACGCATAGGCACGCCTCTTGTCATTTCGCCGAGTGACGGAAGTTCTTTATTGTTCTTGATTAGATGTAATAGCGTAAATAGCGACGCCGCGTTACAACACGATGTTTTGATGGCAATCTGTTGATCATGTTTTCCTCTGTTTCTACGAATTTTCCGGTCATACGTTTTTTAAAATTGAAACCGACCGAAACAACTAAAGACTTAATTTTTAGCTAGCATTGAGATCCTGTTCCGAAGATTTAGCTTTGGATCGAGTCTATAAAATACAAACAATTGTCAATCTTTGTTTAGCCCATAGAATTTCACGGAGCTGCAATGCTGAAGTACGCATGCCCTATCATTGTTCTGCTGGTGCTTGTTATAAAAGAAGTTGAAAGTGCCTGTCCTCCAGAAACACAGTGTTTTGGAAATGGGGACTACAACCCGGCAACTCAGAGTTGTCACTGTTACCCAAGAAGGCGGGTAGGGCAATATACAGGAGAATGCTGCGAAAGTGTTGGCTGTAAGCCAAATGCAACTTGTAAACACGGATATTGCGGAGCTGATGGCCTAACATGTTCCCGTTGCCTCACGGGATGGAATGGAACCAACTGCGAAAAAGTGGAGTCATGTTTCCCTTGGTTTTCCTGCAAGCATGGCTCTTGTATCAAGTCCCGGATGAAGTGTGAATGTGAACCTGGCTGGGTGGGTGACCTGTGCGATCGCTCGTTGTGTTCAGTGAACTGTACTTATGGCGCATGCCCAAATGATCCCAAAAAGTGCGAATGCTATGAGAACTTCCTGAGCCCCGAAACAGGATGTGACAGGTAACAGAAGGACTTTTTGTGCTTCCACGCCGTGGCCATAACGTATTTTAATGGTGACTGAAACAAAAAATGACTTGATAATCAAGAGGTTATTCTCTCTTAATTGGTAGATCTTACTGTGCACAAGGATGGGAGTGCCAAAATGGAGGCTACTGTATCGACCTTAATCACTGCGTCTGCCCACCACACTATTCAGGTGGGAAAAACAATTTCTTGACATAAACATAAACGCTCACGTGAAAGATTTGTCCTTGTCTTGTAAAATGCATGCTCATAACAGTGTTTCCAATGCCGGCGGCCCACTCAACTTGAACAATGTTGAAAACAAATGAAGCTGTTTAGAGGGTTTCCTTCGATTCCAGTCAATACTGCATTGCTAACAACTGGTTATTTTGAACCTCTTGTGCAATCTAAGGATTTATTCGAGGATCTTATATAAGAGAAGAAAAAAAAAGATTCACTATTAAGCGTTGGGCGGTTTGTCGCAATGAGCGTGATTATCGTAATCAAGATAAAATGGCTGTGTGGTTAACCCCCAGTTGTACTGTGGAAGTGAAAAAAAAAACATGTAGAACACTAAAAAACTCTCTCTCTGTGATTTTTACACTGGTGGAAACCTCTAAGAGTAACTAGTATGGAATATAGGTCAACGTTAGGGTCATGGGAGTATCATGAAAATAAAGGAAGTGATCCCAAAGAAAATTAACCTTGACAATAACAAGGCAAATGTATATAACTATGTTACGGTGTTACAGGTTAAAGAGAGTATTACTGTACTATCCAGGAATGTTGACAGAGTTTTTCAGAAGGGAAAACGTGCTATCCTAAGCATTTGAAGCCATGTTAAATTGTTTTCTTACAATAAACCAATATTTACTTTGGGGGTTCCTTAACACTTGCAACCTCTGTAGCTTCATGCTTGCTTCCTTTCATTTTTTCTCTTTCATAATCAGGTCTGCACTGTGAAACGATCAGCGAGTGTAGCGTAACTTGTCCACACGGAAGATGTACCCATCGTCCTGACGTCTGCGAATGTGAGACTAACTGGGGACCAGAAGGACAGTGTACCACGTACACAGGACTTTGTGTTAACTGCAGCTCCGTTGGAGGAACATGTGAGGAGGGCCCTAACACGTGCAAGTGCAAACCAGGTTTGAACCTTTGCAACTTTAATTCCTTGCGTTTTTTTTCCTCTTTCCTTGTCTCCTGAGAACTCAAATTTTAACTTCTTTCCTCCCTACACTATTTAATTGCGAAGGCAAAAGAAAATGAAACATGGTAAAATATGACTAAGAGGAAAATTTCTTGATCTTTAAGAAAGACACAAGTTTTTTTGAAAAATTCAATGCTGGAAAATGAAACCAAGGTAGGAAAGGGCTCAGTGAGTTTCGATGGTGAGAATGAAAGAGTTATTCCAAAGAAATTGAAAAAGTGACTACAATTAGGCAATCACACCGTTTCACATTTGTGGTCTGATTTTTTCCAGGATATATGGGTCCACAATGTGCTGACCTGATGTGCGACGGCTGCGAACACGGATCATGTAAACATACAAAGACGGGGAAGCAGTGCACCTGCGACCTTGGTTGGAGCAACCAAGTGCATGTCCCTGGCTTTGATCTTCACTATGGACCCTGCACCATCATCACCTATTGCACTGAACCTTGTGTGCACGGCACGTGTCCAAATGATCCCTACAAATGCGAATGCAACTCTCCTTATGTGGGTACAGAATGCGATGTTATTAAGTGCCCAAAGTGTTGTCCACCACAAACGTGTGACTGCTCTGATCTCGCCAACATACATTGCCTCCCAAGATGGCATCATGACTGCTGCCTGCTCAAGTCATGTTTCAGGGGAGACACCTTGGTACACACAGCCAATGGATTGGTACCAATCGAAGAAATAAAGGAAGGAGACATGGTAATGACCCGTCACGAGGGCGATGACCCTTCGGTGACACACCTGCGTCGTGTCGACCAAGTTCGGAAGCGACTCGTACCTGCACGAGACCTAGTCGTGTTCCGAATGAACGGCGAAGACATTTGGGTCACTCCCGACCACCAGTTCTTCGAAGTCGGAAAAAGATCGTGGATAAGTGCCGGGATGGTGAAGAAGACACATTCGCTTCACGCCCTGAAGGGAAAGGCGGTGAAACTTCAGCACCCCGCCGTGACGCCAGTGGAACTCTATGGAGCATACGACGACACTGAGCTTGTACCTGTCTATGATCTATCTGTGGATGAGTACGATCGATATTCTGTCGGAAAGGAAGGGCTTCTTGCCGCCTCGTGTAATCACTCGGACGATATGTTAAACCGAGACAAACAGGTCTGGGGTGAAGCAGCGCATCCAAAATTCCTCAACAGCATCAAAGAGGAGGGAAAGGTGAGGAAAAATTCGGTAAAATGAACACGAAATTTTTACCCTTTGACTGAAACTTTAACTTATACATTCTCTTTCCAGAGTTTCGACATTTTTCACTTTTCGCGATGATTTAAAAATTCTTCTGTTAATAGTAAAAATGGAATGCAATGTTAAATTTCAGTATTACGCAGCTTGAAAAAAAAACAAGAAAAACAAAACAAAACAAAAACAAACAAACAAACAAACAAAACATTTTGAACTTGGAACTGGTATAATCTCCACTTTTCATGATGATTGGTGAGGAGAATTAAGGGATAAAATTTTCCCTTACCATGCACAGGTTCGAATCATTTTACAGACCTCTTATGACAAGGGAAGACTACTCTGTGTCAATTGTTGTTGTTCTTTTCTTTTCACAAGGAATCTGTCACTTTGGACGGTTCAGACGAAGAAAACTTTGAACCAGACAACTCTGGCTCTGACCTCTCAACTCTGTCAGCCATCGTTGGTGTCCTTGCCACCATATGCTTGTTGCTTATTATCGTTGCCATTGCAACGATCTACCGTAAGAAGAAACAACGTAGCAACGAGTTTGAGTGCCTGGTAACTCGCACATAAACTTATCGCATGGACTAAGGCGATTAGGAAAAGAATCCTTGAAAAGGCCACCCCTTTTACTTGGAAGCTGAAACATGACTAAGATTTAGCACTGACTTTTTGGATATCTGTATCGAAAGAAAAGGAGGACGCAACCTCTCAGAAGTAAGAGTAAAGACTTGAACTAGTCCTAAATTTAATTTTTTTTGGCGCTGATCCGTCTTTTCACCTTTGTCAAAGTATACTTCGCACAAAGTCTAGGACGTATTATATCGCTAATTTCAGAAGTACTTATTTTTTTCAGTTTTAAAAATGAGGTAGATTTAAGCTAAGCGACCAGATTTGTTCAGTTTCATGACATTGTATCAATTTTAGTATTTCGCGGTTTGTACTTGGCACTATAGATTAAACAGTTAACAATAAAATGTATAGTGAAATTACACGAGGTTGTTTCAAAAGACTGTAAGACAAAATGGAGTTCGTATGTGTAAGTGACATGATCGTCATTACCATCTGGTTTCAGAAACAAACAAAACATATCATCCAATCACAACTCTGACACATGACTCTTTGAACATCCTCAAATAGCCATCGTTTTCCCGTAGAACACAACTCGATTAAAGAAAGGGTAAGAAGCCTTTCCTTAAAAATAATGCTCCTACAACTGTATAATTCGTAACTGCATATTCAAAAGGGCAGTAACGTTCATAAAAAGGTAAAAAAAAAAAAGTGAAAAATTTAACGAGTTTCATGCACAAGCAAATAAACAAAATTGTGCTAGGGAAAAAGTTTCAAGCCACTAACAAACTGATAATTACCATGGAAAATTTTTAAGACACGCTTTATTCTCTTTTTAAAATAAGACTTTCAATAAATAACTTCAACAGCCTATTTAAATCTAATTACAAGAGTACAGTTTTTACAAAGACTTACAAAATGCGGCACTTAATACACCCTTTTGATAAAAATATTCCAGTCTCTGCTGTAATTTTCCCAAGAATCTCAACTTCTGTTCGTTATCTAGCGTGAACATGCATGGATAGTTTTGTGTTTACTGTAGAGAATATAATCTTGCGGGTTTTTATTTTCGAACAGCCTCCATCAGCAAAAATAAGTTTCTACTGGAAAAAAAAATCACACGCAGTGAATCGTCGCAAAAATCACATTCCTACAGTTAAGAGACTCGGCAGGCGGGTCGAGTGTGAATTCGTGTTCTTGGTATTCAGACTTACTCCAGATATACCTCCAAGAGTCATCCACCGAGCAATTATCCCTCGCATAACTCAAAAAGCTAGAAAAAAAGTTATTACGATTTTCGCCTTGTTTATCTCCTACTTATTGAACAAAAATTGCAAAAAATTATTAGCTCCTTGTAGAAATTCAAGATATCTAGAACCGCAATTTTTTTTCCTTCAATACAATAAAAATCGCTAGCTTGTAAAATAAATTAATGCAAAATTTTCATCCTTGGCGGAAAGTTCCTGGTTAAGAATTTATGGAGATTCTTTCGAGGATTCACTGATCCTTGTACAAGTCTCGTAGAGCTTCTGTTGCTTCCACAGAGACAGTGAGTGTTCCGATCTCGGAATGACTTTCAGTGTCATAAACTGCAAAGAAGACACATCCTTTTAAAAATCTCACTTATGTTGCTATTTATTCTGTGGTAATGTTACTGAAGTTCTGCTGCAATCAACGTGTCAACAAGGCGTACAAAGAAATTGTGCTGAGCCAAAATAATCGTTTTTGAAAACCCTCGTGTCTATCGAGTAACATCACCAATGATGCTCTATACTTACGAGCTAAATCCTTGTCAATGACATCCCCTTCATATAAAATCTAAAATAAAAGAAAACAGGACCACAGGAGAAATGATTAACAGTTCTATTCCTTACTCAAGGTCACACACGAAAAGGTTAAGGACGTTATGATAATAACGGGAGAGGAAAAAACTCTTACGACGTGAATATCTCTTCTTAGATTATAATGTGAAAAAGATGTTTTTCTTTCCAAGCTTTACACACGAATTTTCTTTCGGGCTTGTGCCACACCACCATCGTACCATACCAACCATACCAACCTCCTGAAAATCCACGGACGCATAAGCTACGTCAACACAGTCCCCTTCGTCATCATCGTCAGGTGGGTCACTAACCACAGTGAACACGAGTCTACAAGGAAATACAGCTGCTAGTTCTGATCATTTAGGAAACAGCAGGTTGAAGGATGTAAAATCGAGGCTGACCCTCGTAGCTGGGGTTTGTCTTGGCTGGCGAGCATATGAGATCTAATCTTACTACATGGTTAATATTCCATTGCTTGTTACCTCTAATATTTCGTTAGGGTTCAATGAGAATTCGCTAATAACCATTTCCACTCTAAGTAGATAGAGGCGCAGTATTAACATAATTCACATTATGTTAATTTGGAGAATTTGGTATCGGATCAATTAGTAATCCCATTATTGATATATTTCTTAATTCCATCGCTTGTCTGCATGATGTTGTAAGGAGAAATTCAGTTTTGGTCAAACAAGGGAGTTAAAGGGTTAACTACCCGATGAAAAAACAACCCACACACACGCACAGTTTCAGACCAATCAACCAAGTGGGAGCCAATGACAAGCAAAAACAACTTACTTAGGATCGTTGGACAGCATGTAGATCAAGTAATTTCTCTTTCCCTCATTTTTTTCTTCATCCACATAAAAAACTGAAAGTAAGACACAAGAGTAAGTACATGCCATTGAGTGATGCGTAAACCCAGAAATACACCATTGCAAACACTTGGAAAGTTTCCTGTTTTTCAAAATCGAGGTGATGCTACAATCAAAAGTCATGAATTTGCCGTCTTTAAAGGTCTTGGCGATTTTCACTTTTGAAGTAAAACTCGTTCGTATCACTACGCTGCACAGTAAACCTTGGAGGTGTTTAAGTTAGTACCTGTTTCAAGGTCACTGAGTTCCTATCATAGTATATCAGATGCGGGACAAAGGCATGGGAGGGAAGAAGGAAGGGGAAGATTTTCTTAAGGTTTCATAGTTACCTTTCTTGAAGTTATAGTATATCGGTCTGTACGGTGCGGGCTTTGGTAATGAAATTGGCGTTTCCAGATCAGCGGGTTCGTAGTCCAGGAACTTGTAAGCTACAAAGAGTTGTTTGACGTTCGGGTCTTGTAAGATCGGTGCCTCTGAGTCTAGGGTAAGACTGGTAACTTGAATAACAACGGTAGAAGTAGGCTGCAACAAACACATTTACAAAAAGGTTAGAGACGCTAGGTCGGTCGGTCGGCCGTCCAGTATTTTGGTCATTCAGTCTGAAAGACGACCACAGTATTACAGAAAGTGAATAAGGCTGTCCGTAAGATAGACCAGAAGGAAACCCAGTCCATAGGTTCATTGGTGGGTTAGTGAGGACCTGTCATTATTTTTTACTGCGTGTTCATGTCCTTCCTCGCCTGGCATCACCACACTCATTGCGTTATTTGCTTAAGCTACCTTCTCTAGGCTTTTCTGAAGTTCTCTTTGGTTTGCTTTTAGCGTCAATAGGCAGAGAGACCGGGCTCAACATTTACTTAAAAGAACCTTGATGAAGGCCTTTTTTTCACAATTTGTTGCTTTGCTTACATTGACCACAGATTTTGCTCGAGAATGCCTCGGAGAGACCACCACTTCATTTTCACTTGTTTCAGTTCCACTCTCCACAGCATCATCTTCCTTCTCCTGTTTCTCCTTACTTTCCTCCTGGCCTACATCTTCCTCATCCTGCTCCTCATCCTCCTCAACTTCCTCATCAATCTCCTCCTCATTTTCCTCTCCTTCCTCGTCCAGCTCTTCCCCGGACTCCGCCGCAGGAAGGGGTATGTCCACCTCCTCACCAAGTGTCGAATCGAAATCTAGTTAACAAATACAAAGATACTGTCAGCAACGATAAACCCGGACTAGTACTATTCTCTGTAAGGTCTGCTAACCGGATTCAGAATGCCGCTCCTCAAACATGGTGTCCTCGCTCGCTTCTGCTTCAGTTGTTCGCCTCATTTCCTCTGCTACAAGAGCTTTATCATTCTATAAGAGAAAATGCTACTGTAAGCAGAGAACGCTAAAAAAATCTCCGTACTGGTAAAGATATACGTTTTTGGCCAAGCGAGAGGTCGAGGTGGCTGGATATTAGTCGAGTGATTTTTTCGCGTTTTTATGGACCGAAACGAAGTCGAGATTTATAAAAACGTAAAAAAAGAACGAGGCTAACATTCAGTTATCTTCACCTCACGCTCAGTCCATAACGGATTTATTATATAGCAAAAAAAATACCTCACTTGAATGACTTGTTTATCACTGTTTATTTCGAGAGCCGAGAAAGAAAGCTAACTGTTTTTATAGCGCAATAAATCCACGAGAATCGTTTATGTTTTCTTTGTTTTGACTGTCTTCTGACGCTTTATTTGCCAATACATCACCGACATTGTCCAAATATATTACGAACTTTGTAAGTCCGTTCCACGTACTTCTTTTTCACGCGTAGAATCAAAGTGGGCAATCCCGAGAGGACAAAGTAGGCCATCTTGCCCGGTCGGGTAGCCAATCAGAACAGAGGATTCGCTTCATATTGCTCCTGGGCACTGCCAGTGATATAATAAATATGTTCATAACTGCTTTTTAAAAATATGAATTGGTCAGTCAGACCGTCGTCTCAGTCAAGCCGGTCAGCGTACCAAGGATGACTTACTTAGAAAATTGTCAAAGGTTTTGTTAGTCCTGAATCAATTTCTCGACAACTCATTGATACCCTTAGTACCTGTTCATCTTCAGAGGTCTCACTGATTTCTCCCGTAGATTTCACATTGTTCCCAGGCTCCTCTCTCGTTTCTTCGACCACCTTAGCCATCTCATCAATAGACATCTCCTCCACGGGTTTCTCAGGCTCCACTTTGCGCGTGCGCGGGGCAGGCTGAGGTTTCTGTGCCGTCGCCTCAACTAACTCATCAACTGACATGGACTCAAGTAGCTTTTCTCTGTTTGTTGTTTTAGAAAAATATTCAAATTAGCCTCTGAGGTGACTTAAACTAGGATACAATGGTAAAAATTAACTTGTAGTGCTGCAATTGTATGTCTATGTGTTTGTTTCAGGGTAATTTAGTATTATCAACTGAGTTGATAGCGTAAATTGGCCACCGTAAAGAGTTTCAAAACTGAGCGTTAGCCCTCCGTCATTCACTCTGATGAAGGGCTAACGCTCGAAACATCAGCTTTGAAACTCTTTACGGCGGCCAATTTGTAATCAACTCAGTTGATAATACTAAATTACCCTGTTACACTCTTCCACCGACGCAGCATCACAGTTTCGTCAGAAAGTTACCCCCTATATTCATATGTGTTTGTTTGACTGACGGCCGGTCTACCTTTTTTTTACTAGATTGTTTATTAACGACAACGACTTAGACTTCAAAGTTTCTTTAAGGCCTATTTACACGGCACGACTTTGTCGCATGCGACAAAGTCGTACCGTGTAAATAGGCCCTTAGAGAGATACCAGGGCAGGAGGGAACGCTTTTTTTTTTTGCTTCGTCTGTCCATCTCGACGGAACTTTTCACTCTTAATTTTCAGCGTCGTAAAAGATGGACAAACAAGTTGGTTTGGAGATCGTACTTAAAAAAAATATCTCAACCACGTTCAAAATTTAAACGCAACTTCAAAAAAGACACAACCCACTTTATCTCCTTTTCTACTCTAGCTTCACTTTTCTCTTTTTGATCCGACGGCTTTCGTTGCAGCTGAGCCGACTCTCGTCTGGCCACTTTTTCCTCACGTTGTTCCTGTTTAGGGGTGGACGAGTCAACCGGAGATGGAGGTTTTCCTCTTTTGTTAGGTGATTTGACGACAGGTTTGAATTCAGGTTCACTGTCAGAATGCAGGTTCACTGTCAGAGGTTTTCCTCCCTTTTTAGGTGATTTGACGACAGGTTTAAATGCAGTTTCACTGTCAGAGCTGAACGGCTCGTTATCATCAGGTATACGCATCACACGCTAAAACAGATAAACATGGCGAACACTGGAGAAGATTTCATTTTTGTTGTAACTGGTGTGGGACAAAGGAAAAATTCCCTACTTTTAAACGAACCTTCGACCTTTGGATTCCACGCTCCGATGAATTACCATTTAAACAACAGAGAACTTTGCGCTTTGTCTGGTCACTACTAACATCATAGGTGAACAATATTAGGCAAACTCGTGGAAAAAAGGGCTTAATTCCTAAGTTCTGGCTGGTAAATCTCCTTTTCAGCTGTCTTTTCAATTCAATGCAAAACAGTTACGAGAGTTTGGTGTTTGTAACTCGATATAAGCCCTCCGCTTATAAGTTCGACTATTCTACTCATATCTTTCCTAGATAATTAACATCGTGTTCTGGGGTCCATGCGTAGTGCAAGGGGTTCATATTTTGAATTCATAGACAAGCGAACAGTTTCAATTGGTATTTAAAACACACCTCTCTTGACCTGAACGAGGTGCATACCTGAGGTGCCGCGCGGGGCTTGGCACTGGCCGGAAGATACGTATATCTCCATTTCAGGTAAACATCAATTGTTCCGTTTACACCTCCCGAGGGCTGTAAAGATAAAAAAAATTTGGGTAAGTTAATGAAGATGGCTTCCTTGGTCTTGTTTTTGCTTGTTGTTAAGGCTTCCTTCAGTCTTTTGAAGCTTTGTTCGTTCACTCGCGTCCATCCGTTCTGTACCTACATCCATCACTACTCTTGGTCTCCCAGTCATATTTTCCAATCCTCTGGATTTCGTTTCTGGACTTTTAGGTGTCATTAGTAATGGCATGGAAAATAGGAACTGCTTCTTTTATTTTTTCATATGCGCTCTTGGAAAATCAAGGTATTCGTAACTCAGTAACTTTGTGATGAACAATTTGAACCACATTATAAATCAGTTACAAAACACAAATAAAAATTTTTGACATTCACTTCCCTTTGGCAGGGTGCACCGACTAGACTACGAGTAGTTCGTTCTTTATGGCGAAGTCTGTCCCACGCGTCAAATATAAAAATAAAAAAATAATAAAAAAAATAAAAAAAAAAAAAAAACGGAAGCGCGCCGCGCAGAACTCTGGGAGTGAGTCCGCGCGGCAAGTTTACATATGTTGTATTATTAACTGACTTTTTTGTAATCGTACGACAGACTTCGCTAAAACTCAGGGACCTCTGGAAGCCTATTCACCTGCAGATGAAATCATGAAGTGACAGAGGATAACTTACTTTCCTAAGTTCAAACGTTCCCTTGACTGGTTTGTCGTTAGCTAATGTTATCAATGGTACTTTAGCCAGTCCCAAGTACACCGTAGGTTCGGGATCTGCGTCATCAAATACATAGATCTCCAGCGCCTGAAATTACCAAAAAGGTTTGCAGCTTAAACTTTAAATTCGCCTGACTTTTCCCGTCAAGTATAGAGATATCATTTCTCTCATCTCTCTTCTGTACAACATATACTCATACCAAGAGCCTGTAATTTTCTTTTCACAAGCCAAGTTTCGGGTTTGCGTGTGAAGGAAAAAAGAACTAAACGTCATTCGATTTTCAGAGTTTTTCTGGCTTTTAACTAAAATAATAAACAAAGAACGAAAGAGCTTGGAATTTCCAAGCAAGCAAATTATCATTGTTTAGTTACGCGCGTGCCTACATGATAAACGGGTGCCTAAGCGTTAAACGGTTCTTCGCAGCCCAGGTATTGCAAAAAACAGTACACAAGGCAAACAAATAAACACGTAAGCTAGTTACCGCAGCTCTGAGGTAAGTGTCAAGCTCAGTTGTCATGGGGACAGGAAATGTCTTGACATCATTAAACTCAGGCGTGTTGGTGCTCTGCACAATATCTGTGTCATGATCAGCAAAGTCAAAGAAACGATACACCGCGTACGGACAGGGCTGTATTCCTGAAGGAAAAGACCATTTGAATACATAAAAAAACCGGATAATTTTATCAAACGACCCGTGCGAAACGCTCAATCACTCCTAACAAAATCATAACGAAAACTAGTATGTCCGAAAATAGCCGTCTGGCTCCGCACAAGAAGTGCCTTGTTGCAAAAAGTATTGAGAAACGTCGCGATCTTCAAGAAATTCTGCCAGTTGATTGCTCCGAGCTTTCATCTTGCATAATCTTTTTCATTGCTTTTCCGGAGCCCCCCCATCTGATTTATGTCATGTTTTGGTGTAAAGGTGGCTTCCGACATTTTCAACAATTCGAAGTCCCGTGAAAAAAATGCATACTGACATAATTAGGGAGGTCCATGCAATCTGAGCCTCATCCAAATATTTTCCCGTCCAGGCCTTCAATCAATAAGCACAGAGTCCTACGTGCGACTCACGAAACTATAAAAGATCACCGGAACGCACATTGTTGCCTCGACCGGAACTACACTCTCCGTAAAACAGGAAGTGCGCCCCATTATCGTTCGAAGCGTCCGTGTGTTCAGTATAGAATGGGTTCGGAACTTATTCGGGACCAAATATCCAGAGAAGCAGACCGAGTTATGAATTAGTTTTGCCTAACTAATAGGCCATACATGTACGTTTGTGACCATTTTGTCCAAAGCTGGCGTGATATCTAGGATACTTTCAAAGGGTAAAATTCGTCAGTCTTTTACAGCACTACGACTGCAGTTACACGGCACTCTTACCTGGTCTCCTCGGCTGAACTGCATTGCATCTGACGACATGAATGTCGAGCTCATTGACGTCCGAGGGCGGTTTGTCTGGCACGTGACCGGCGTCTTCAAGGGCTTTATATGCTCCAGAGTTCATATAACCAAGTGCTTTGGTACGCTCCTAAAGCGCAAAAGGATATGTTTAGGTTAGAAAACTATAACGAATAGAATTGGTCAAAGAAAAATATCCAAATTATTGGTACACTCACTCTATACAATCTGATTGCTTGGTCCATGGGAACTCTTAGTCTGACCCAGTATTCCAAGGTCGCGAACTCGATGCCTTGGCATGGGGGCCTAGTGCCTACGAGAATAAATATGAGAGGAACAAAATATGATTTCAAAAAAACGATCAGCACTCGCAGTTATATTACTTGTCACAATTTAAGAGAGCAGAGCCCGCAAGTCCAATCACCTTCCGAACTCGGTTCACAAATATCATAAAGCAACTTAATGATTGAAGAGCATACAACGCCATCTACTGGCTCGCTTGGCACACCTACTTGAAGCTCGGTGCGAGGCGCAGACACGCGGGGCGTGACATCTCGCGTGCGCCACTTCTTTCTCGCCCCCGTTGATCTTACACCTATAACACTGTCAAAGGATTCTTACCAATTAGCGTGGCAGTGCCGTGAACTCTGCCGTGAGGTTTTTCAAGCAGGTCTCTAAACTTCAGCTGACAAGCTGCCACAGTCTTGTAGTCCGTTCCAAATGCTCGATGGATTTCTATCAACGTGGATTCCTATCACAAGGAAAAACGGAAGACTAATTGGACAACAAACACAAAGGATATCGTGCGTATTCCTCCCTTCTTAAGTCAAACAACGAATGTCTTCGACATTTGGACAACGTACCTTTTGTAAGAAATGAAGAAAGAAATCATCGACTCTCACAAGATACTGTGAGGTAAAATTGAATTCGGGTCTGAAAGCAAAATAAAAAGAGAGCTCAGTCAAATATATTTGCAGAGACTTAAAACCATCGCCCTAATAAAGCAATTTAGGTTAGATAAACGGGTGCCGGCAAATTTCCACGAAAACCTGAAGAAATGCGGAGGTAACCTTGCCACGATCTGACATCCCATCCAGGAAGAAGTAAAGTGATACTCCCAGTAGCTTCAGACACCAGGATAACTTCCGGCTAAATGGGCCACTGACATGTAGTACAAGCGCAGAGTTTTGAACTTATGATAGTAAAGTAGATATTAACAGACGTGGTCTATCACACAGCAACTAAGATACTTCACAGATCTCAAAGTGTACCTGGTCCCCTTAACAACGGGCGTCGTCTGAAGCTCATGTTCAAAAAACTCATACGTCACAAACGTCACCGGTTCATCATCTTCAAACTCTTTCATGGCTTCCTGAGACAATATAACCTGATTGGGAGAAATGTGGCGAGCACAACTTGAGCAAAAATAATATAAAGTTGTCGGAGATGATAGCGTAAACAAAAATTACATGGCGTACCTTATCAATGTGAATTTCGAAGATGTTTTGACCTCGCTCCAGTTCTACCGTGCTATCCATTTCTTCGAACTCGGAGTCCTGCTAAAATGTAGGAGTTGGAGTATCAGTAAAGACCTATTTTGCACAAGAAATATCTTTCGAGGGAAATATTTGCACGTAAAAATTTTACTACATGAAAGATCATCGCACAAAAGCTTGTGCAGTTAATAGCACT